TCGTTATGGGGACTCAAAGCGTGGTAAATATTTAGATTGTTGGATACGTAAAGTTTTAAAGCTCGGAAATACATAATTGAGCTTATTAAATATTTACTTGTGTAATTCAAAATAGTTAGATCTTTTGAAATATATGTATGTATGTATGTATCAAGTACAAGATTTTCAGAATTTCAAATTCAATCGTTGTTAAAGAGGGATATCGTGTCCCTGTGTAAATAATTAAGAACATAAATGTACATTTATTTCAATTTCAGTATTCGCCGTGCTTCTTGGAAAAGTAAGGTCAAACTTTTAGCTTCAACGGTTATTTACGTGGATTAAAGATATCGATGTCAATTAAATATAGGTATGCGCCGACCCTCTAATGGTCTTTGCGAAGAGGATTTCGTACCGTTAATTGCCCGGCATTTATGTTAATTACCTGGTTTGGGCAATTTTATGCTAATTAACCAAGACATTAGATATTTTCATAACCATGACCAAGCCTGACCATTAGACAAAATTAGGACCACAGCTAAATACACCAATTTTGGCGTAAATTGCCATAAATAGAAATATGACCAAGAACGCCATCTGATAGTCTTCGCGATGGGTATGTCTTGCAAATATACATATGTATCGATTCAGTATTTATGTATGTACGTAGGTATGTTATTTTTCGGTTCGGCCAATTCTATTCTAATTAGCGAGAACATTTACATATTTTGATGCACATAAACATAATTGATTGAATCATACCCTGGCCCCTATTTATAAGTGCAAAATTAGGAAATATTATACTAATTTTTGACCCAAATTGCCACAAATAAATATGGAAATAAATACACAAATTCCTATCTATAATTGTGGCGGCATTCGTATATACATACACAATTATGACATATGCTACTGGCACAATGGCAAACTGTTGCGCTTTGCAAATTGTGACTTTCCATAGATATTATATCTACACTCTAAGAAATGGGCTTAACATATTTTTGGGTTAAAAACTGGTCAATCTTGGACGAGGTAAAGTCAATCCGTGGTGGAGTAAACTTCATAACCCTAAGTCATATTGCATACAAAATAACCTCGACACGGGTAAAAGCCACCAATTTACTCGTGGGTGTATTACCACAACTTCAAAAGGAGTTATGGTTATCTAGCTCGAGTAAAAAGTGGAGCAGTTATTTATATTTTGCAAGCCAGACCACGCCGCTCATTCCGTCTTCAAGTGCGTCTCCTTCCCTGCTGCTGCAGGACTTGGAGAAAATATTTCGTTAATTATTTTATCTATTCAATTATTTGAAATTTATTGACATGAGTCAAGCGGAGGTACATAGAGTACTCACGCAGTGTGGATTGGCCGAATATATCACTAAGTTTGAAGGTAAGACAATTAAACCAGAGCTCCACGCCGTTGAAAAATCGGCGGCGGCGGCGTGATTAGTAAAAACCGTCGGCGGCGGCGTGATTAGTAAAAACCGTCGGCGGCGGCGGCGCACCACGGCGCGCCGATATTTCTGCCTCAGTTTACCAGTCAGTGATCATAACCGACCACAGTGAAATTATCTTATTAGACTGTTAGTTTAATTTTATATTGACGAGTCTTATTTGTTTTCGCGTCGTGTCTCTCCCGGGAGTCCAGTCTTAATTGTACTGTGGGTTTTTGACACTTGAATAAACTGGATAACTAAACTAAACTAAACTTTATTTAGCTTTCTAATACATAGTAATGTATTTCGCGTGCTAATTTTAATTGGTTCAGCGAAAAAATAAGCCGACCCATTTTTTAATTCGTGTTAATTCGAGTTTTCTACATTACAGAATTTCAAAAATATTTCTCGACTAAAGCCATCAGCCTTAATAGCCATGTCGTCGGCGGCGTGGAGCTCTGAATTAAACCCTTTTAATTTCAGTTATTTGGTAAATTATAAACAAAGGATCTATAAATAATTTTGAATAATTTTTTCTTCCAGAGCGTCGTATTACCGATGAATATTTTCTGGAACAAAGGAGGACCTCGCAGAACTTACATATTTCCAGAATTGGACACGGAACAAAGTTTTTCAACACGCTTAGCAAAATTAACGCCGGCTCGGTATATGAATGTTTCACGTGTATTGCCAAATTTATAGATTTTGACAGTTTTTCAAACATTAGACCGAGTCTCACGAGTTAAAGACACATAGTGAGTCACCCTGTAAGGGTGCCACCATGTAATTAATTTGTGTTTAAAAGCGATTATTATTATAAACTCAAGTAAATAAATTATAAATGGATAATTAAAAAATTTTGATTTATTTGCATTTGGCGCATCTGGCATTGTAACCCATAAAAAAGTAACAGTAACCCGACCTGTGTTATAACGCTGCAGAGTTTCTGAGTAAAGTTTACCCATAATAAGGTAAAACAGAATAACCCGTTTTTGGGTTGATAGCCAAAGTTGGTTACCCCTTTGCACTTTTGGGCTCGTTAACCCTGTACAGCGTCGTCGCTGTTTTTACGTACCACGCTACGGATTGACTTTTACTCGGCATGGGCTTATTAGTTTTAAGTGTGTAGCAATTACATCAAAAACAAATTATACATCTACATATGCTTTCCTTGTAATAAATTTGTAAATACGAATTTATAAGGCGTTACAGTACGTCAGAAATTTTTTAAAGGCTAATTCTGCCATGCAAATTTAATTTTTAACAAATTATCTACTTAATAACGTGCATAAATACGTCAATTCGTTTAAAATGGAAAATGTAGAAGTTTTATAATAGGGGAAACACGTCCTAGTCATGGAATTACCTTCAAAAACACACCACCCTGGAAATATTATCCGCTCGACAAACTCCTAATAGCGGTGAACCTTACTCAGGAACCTTTTGGCTGTTAAGTACCGATTTCTTTCATATTATCTCAACCGGTGCTAAACTTAGCGAGATTATTTGTAAACTTTACGATATAACGTTACTTACAAATCGAGTTCGTGACAGTTGAATTGCAGATGAACTTGAAGAAAGTACAATATAGACCAGCATACATATTTATAGGCAATTAAAAACTTTATTGCAATTAACTCTATTACTAATTTTCTTAAACTAGCTCTTCCTTCCTAAATTAAAATGCTAGAAACGGTATTTTCCAAACTTTTCAGGAAAGCCGTAGTCGTCTTGCAACGTAGCACGTTTCATTTAGCATATTGTTTCGAATTCGACGAAACCACAGGGTGTATAAAAGCCGTGAAAAATTGGCGCTATAAAGCTTTCCAATTAATCTGGATTGGCGCAGCTTTCCTCGTCTTGCCTGGATTATTGGTACGATGCTATCTCCTGTTCATAGCAGCGGAGGGAAAAGAAGACAAAATGACGATATTCTTTACCGCTGTGTCCTCTGGGGTGTTGGTCATATTCGTGCTCTTTGGGTCCATCTTTATCAGACCGGGTGGGGTTGACAATTTCATAGCTTGTTTTGAAACAATTATTGTCATGGAGAAAAAGCTTCTAGGTAAGTATTCTACGCGAAATTTTGCGAAAAACTAACTTACCCAAAGGATTACTTAGGATTAATCAAATCCATCTGAACTGAATCTCAATTTACCTCTTTGTTCCGCAAAGAGGTAAATTGAGATTCACGCGTTGTCTTGACAACGCGTGATCTTGGGGGCTGGTGGGCCATTGATCATTTTGGGCTTAACTATTATCTTCCTGGCGCACCCACTACCCATGTACCTCAAATAAGATATTAAGCCCAATATTGTCAGTTCCACAGTTTTTTAACCAAAAATTTCAGACGTAAATAATTAAATACATTCGAATAATCAAATGAATTTGGTCTATATTTAAATATTTTGCTTCCCCTATGAAATTAAATTATTGATTAGGGTTTTTTATGGAAAGTACCTTCGATTCTCAAGTTGGTTATGTTCAGAGATTTGTAACCGTTTTGGAAATATTACCCCCGGAAACGTAAAAAATTCAAATGCATAGATCGTAGATTTTCGATCCCCAAAAGTCGTTACAGTAATTTTTTTCAAAGAGCTTTGAATAACGTAGCTCTACGTTATTCATTTATTAGTATATTGTATAATAATCACCAAAATAAAGACACGTGGCCCAACAACCCCCAAAACTACGCCTTGTCCAGCACACGTCCAGTCCAATCGACCTAATAAATAAATCGAACCAATCTACATCTCAATTTACCTCTTTGTTCCACAGAATGCCTGCCGAATCCAAAAGGCGAGAAGGGCGCTAAGGTAACCCGCGCTGTGGAAAGGTGCACATTAATGATTCAATTAGTTTGCATCCATTCTTTCTACACGGCTCCCCTTCTCGCCTTCCTGATCGGTTGTACGAAATCAAATCCACTCTACGCGATGTTTCGGGATATCTACAATTTCGAACTACATCACGGAGCTCTTGTCAACTTGGGGTTGCGAATCGTTGGCGGATTAGGTGTCGGGCTGGGTGGCATGATAATGTGTTCCACGATAGGGACATGCTTCCTGTTATGGGTTTACTGTATTAATTGTCTCAACGTGTGGACCCTGTTTCTCGAGCCGATTGCGGGAAACAATGGGGACATGATGTTTCGGGGCGGAGTATTGTTCCAAAATGCTGTCAAGATGTATAATACCCTGAAAATAATGACCATCGTTGAGAGCAACTTGTTGAGAGAGTTGCTCATGCCTTGTACACATCATATTTTTGCTGTATTTTTCTCAACGCTGAGTTTTGTATATTTTTTTAAAGAATTTTCACCTCGTAACCCGGACGACATTTCCATATTCGTTGTGATATTGTCGGTCATCATTATTGCCATGACAACCCTGATTGAGGTTTACTCCATCTGTTTTATTGCCGAAGCTGCGATCAAAGAAATACAATGCCTTGCATATCTCGCGTTCCTTAATTTGCCATTGCCGTGCAAGAAATGTACGTAGCAGACCCGCAAGAAACGAGACACTATTAAACCAATTTTATTTCATTCTAAAATAATATGCAACGCTTAACTTAAAACTGTCTACGATTCCATCCCAGCTATTCAGCATTGAACATTAACCGTTCCAGTGATCCCTTCGACCAGTGCTTTCACAATACAACAATGCTGCACCCCCGGACAGGATTGGTCAATCGTCACCGCCCCAGTCCCACTGACACCCAAGACGCTCAGATTCTTGCAACAGACGCGATCCGGAACTTTGTCCGTGTAGCAGGCGCCATCTGCCGATAAGACGTTATTCCCACTGGCCAAATTAATTTGCAATTTGCAAGTTTCCTCCCCCATCCCAGTTCCCTTGGCTGGTGGCTCAGGCACACCTATTACATAAATTCGAAGAAAGAATTGCAATAAACTTTAAAAAATGAAACCTTTAATCAGCCAAAACTTACCAAGTCCTTGCCCGAATGCGGAGCCAATTGCGGCCAAGCAGATAATTTCGGTGACAAATAAAATCATGTTTTTGTCCATATTTTAAATAATGAAATTAGAAATGCTAAAATTTTGCGAGTTATTTAAATGAGATTTAAATTCAGAGAGGCAACCAATCTGGTTAATGGACAGATTACGTTTAAAGTACGTACCTACGTGCATACTCAAAAACCTTGATTCATTAAATTCTTTGATTCGATTGTTTTCTTTGTTACATAAACTTGCGTCAATGAAACTCTTTACATATCGGCCGAAATCGTAAGATTGTAAGATAATAGGTATTGTTCATTCATGATTTTTGGGATTTTTGTTTCAAATTTATTGTCATTTGTGTTTTTCGTTACATAATTAAATTTAAATGCGTAGCATGCATTTTTAAATACTGAATTTAAAGGTTACATTTCAATACAAATAGTTATGCTAATGCGTGACCAGTTTTTGAGATTGGTTTTGTGATCATAAAACATTTTTACAATTAAATTAAATTAAATGATTTTCAGAAGTCACCATTTAAAACCTCCGAGCAGAAAAAGTCGCTCATATTTAGAAACCCTTATTTTTGTAAGGCATTTGCCGATATCATTTATTGAATTAACTAAATATCGTAATTTTCAAAATTGGGCAGATTCAAAAATGTAATGAAAATCTCAAAGAGTGGCAATTCCCAGATAACTTTGCAAATACATAATGAAATACGTACATAATCATGCTAAACTTTTCATTGTTTTTTTATTACAAAACCATTCGTGGTTCAAGTCAAATTAAGTATTATTAGTCAATTCTAAGAACTAAATTCTATGACATTATCTTAGTGGATAACATTAAAACAGTTTAACACGGTTTTAGCGTACTCAAAAACCAGACAAATTACTAACCACACGGTCTCCAATCAAACGCATACCAAAAATCTAATTACGATACACACCTCCCCTAAAATCCACAGGTGCACCATTAGCTTCAAAAAAGGGTCGATAGACTTCAACAATTTCCTGAACCTAAATTAACAACAAAACCGGATATAGACAAAATTACCTCAAGAAAATTGTATTACTAAAGTACCACAACTCCAGAAATTTCCACGTGTTTAAATCCTCTGCTTAGCAAAATTATATCTTCAGTGGAGGCAGAAAAGTCAGCTTGTTTGATCCCGGTACGTTCGAAGTGGACACTTTTAGCACCTAAAATTAAATAATTATAATTATAATTACGAATACGAATTAATAGCTTAATTGCGCCAATATTTTTCAATACTTTTGCACCTCGCCATATTTCTTAGGATACCAACCACCCCGGAGGCAGCGTTCTCACACCTCACGACAAGCTTGGCCTCTTCCAGGTCCCACAGTTGCAACGATTCCATTAATTCCTTGACGCAATTTTCACAGGGATTCAACATCAACTCCAGCTTCTTGACTGTCGGGAACAATCCAACAATCTGTTCCCCATATTTATCGCCAGTCATGCAATAACCGTGTGTCTTCAGCGACAACGATTCAACTCCTGGGTGTCGCTTCCATAAATTGAGATGGATTGATAACCCGGTCAGACCCCCGATCTCCTGGTTTCTTAGCGAGAGATTTTTCAGCTTTGGGAGATGCTGTACGTCAAAGAAATCCGGGATTAAATACTCATACGGCGCATCGAGGGTGAGCGTGGTAAGGTTGGACATGATGGGAGCGTCCAAATTCCGGCCCTGCGAGAATTGTATGTAAATTTTTAAATACAATTTTAGGTTTTAAATTCATCTGGATAATTATACCTCATTTTTACTTTACATGCATTTACCTGACTATTACTATCATTCCCATGAATATCGGCGTAGCTTAACTCCAGCTCAATTAACGAATCCTTCACCGGAGTCAACATCGTGGTCACAGTGGTCAACTTGAAGCCGGGACAAGCGAAGCTGTTACAATTTGAGAAGCTGAATTTCAAAACTTTTAGGCTTTTACATCCTTCCAAACTCGGACAGAGAGAGGCCGTGACGTCCAAAGAGGTCAAACTGGGGGAAACATCGATCAAGACTTGGAGGAGGGGCTGGAACGAGTGAATGCCTGATCCCCAATACCGCATTCTTGGATGAATTTGAAACTTTAGTGACGTCAAGTCATGTTGAATGGGTAATTTTCGTAGGGCTTGAAGTCGACATTTGTCCAGATTTCGGTTTCTCGAACGGATTAAGATTGTAATATGTTGAATGTGTGACGTTTCTTTCAGGCTCCTCAAACCATTGAGAAAAGCAGTCGCGTATTTTTTCAGCGTGACGTGAAACGCGACTTCTCTCGTGACTTGGGATACGTTGGACGAGAAAACCTGGGTGATGACGTCATCAGTCCGCCTGGCAGGGATGGAGGGGTCGAATTCGTCCCGGATGATGACACTTCGTAAGAGTGTGTCATGCACGGGGGTTGCTTGGTATAACTTTGACCCATCGTAGCGGATTAGCTGGTTCACATTGAGAACGGTTCGTTTTCCTAACAACCCAGCGCCAACGTCGCCCCACTCGCGACACACGAGACGAATCACCTTCAAGTCGGACAGGTCGAGCTGAGCGAAAATAACGTCGAGAACCTGGTGGAAATTTAGAATTTCAATTGTTTACGGAAAGAAAGTTTAAATTTGAGGAATTTTGTAATGACTGACCAACGGATTCTGTAAAGCTTTCGACATGGCGCTGTTATCGTTGAAGGAATTGCAGGGAGCTATCGTGCCTGGAATTAAGGAGATGAAATGAAAAAGATAATACGTCAAATTAAAAAAACTCGTTTTTAAATAAAAAACAATGGCATATTTAAATAAGAATTGAATTCAACCAGCACTTACTTAAGGTTCCCTGTAGTGTCGAAGATGATGATCTCAACTTCATCTTGGTAAATTATTTATGTCTAAAATTCGAAACGCAAAATATTATACAAGTTGTGCATTTGTACATTTTTGATTAGATATTATTTAAATATGAAATAAAAACTCAAACTTTAAGATTTGAAATACAAAACCTACAGTGCAGCTTTGCTTAGCCCGAGCCAGGGTGGGTACAACTAGAATTTGTTTACCAATCTTTACGCCAAAATTCAGCTTAATTGAGTGATTTTGCAAAATCAGTATGGGTCACCCCACCGGGTTCCTCTGGGTCAAAATTTTCAAAATTGTACATCATAAACTCCCATTATAAGCTGCTATCGACTTCCATACCAAATTTCAGCTTAATTGGACGATTTTGAAAAATCAGTTTGAGTGACCCCATAGGGTCCCTCCAGATAAAAATTTTCGCAAATTCACTTCATATCTTTTCATTAGAAGCCATTAGTTACATATTTACCAAATTTCAGCTTTCTACAACAATTTTGAAAATTTGATGCATAATAACCCCACCACCCATATGGCCCCCACCGGCCAACCACTTGACCGATTCGGCTCATCTTCGAACTTGATTTGTCTTTTGGGTAGATATAGATGTGGTAAAAATTTCAAGTCGATCGGTTGAGTTTGAAGAGAGTTATCGCGAAGACAGACGGACGGACGGACAGACAGACAGACATAACGGGTACATAAGCCCTGGCTCGGGCTAAAAATGTGTACGTTAATTATTATCAAGTATATTTCAAAGCCAACCCACCTGTTGTAGTTCTTTGAATCAAATCAAACTCACAAATTTGTGGACAGAAATTGCAAGGCGAAGTTAAATTGCGAATTACGAATTAATTGACGACTGACGAATTATTTACCTGCTGATCGACGAATAAATACGTTTAAATCAGCCGGGGGGAACTTTGAGATGAATTGGGTAACTGTACGCGTGTATGTATTTGTTAATTAATTTACTTTAATTGTTTGTATTAATTATTAATTGATTTTTGATTAAACTATAATTAAGGAAAAAACATATATAAACGATTATTGTTGCGACCAACCTAAATCAATTTGATTATTTTGTATCCCTGTACAAAAATTAAAATCCGATTGGACATGCAATGCATATTCGCTTATCCGATATACAAATAAATATTTATCATTGTTTAATTAGTTCGTGTTTAAAATATGAACATGTGAAATACTATTTCACATGTTTAAAATTAGGCAAATTTATTTACATATGGAAAGTTATGTTCATGAAAGTTACGATGAACGCTTTTTGCAGGGGTTGAATTTTAGCATATAATTTTTGCAAAATTTCTCAATGTACGTCCAACCTCATTCTTTTAATTGTTACATCGCGATTTTCAATTATTCTCAAAATTATGTGAACTAAAAAATGTAATGAAAATCTCGGACAATTCACACACAACACTGCAAATGCAATATGAATTTCATATTATGAAATACGTGCATACTAATATTTTTCATTTTTTAGCTTTTTATTACAAAACCATTCTTGGCGAAGTCAAACAAGTATTAATCAATTCAAATTTTAGGAAATATATATCAAATTATCTAAGTGGAAACATTAAAAAGTTTAACACTTAACAACTACACAAATTACTAATCACACAGTATTCCTTTAAATACATACGACTCATTTAATTCGAATAATTACGATACACCCCTCCCTTAAAATCCACGGGTGCACCACTAGCTTCAAAAATTGGTCGAAAAACGTCCACCATTTCGGGGACCTGAATTTATAACAAAACCAGATATAGGAAAAATTCCCTCATGAAAATTGTATTCCTGAATTCAATTACCACAAGTCCCGAGATTTCCACGTTTTTAAATCCTCTGCTATGCAAGATTATATCTTGAATGTAGTCAGAAAAGTCGACCTGGTTGATAATAGTATCCTGGAAGTGGACGCTTTTAACGCCTGTAAAGAAATAATTAGATATAATTGCACATAGCTGAATTTTATTTTGCCCACTATTTTTCAATACCGTTGAAACTCGCAAAAATTCTTAGGATTCCAGCCATCCCAGCCGCAATGTTCTCGCTCTCGACGATAAGCTTGATCTCTTCCAGACCCCACGGTTCGAATGATTCTATAAATTCTTGGACACAATAGTTACATGGGTTCAACCTCAACTCAAGCTTCTTGGCTGTCGGGAATAATCGAATAATCTCTTCCCCAAATTTATCGCCTGGTTGGCAATAACTGCGTGTCGTAAGCGTGAATGATTGAACTCCTCGGTGGGGCTTCCATAGGTTTATATGAGTTGAGAACTGGGTCAGTCCGAGGTAGTAGTTTTTGAACGAGAGGTTCTTCAGCTTTGGGAAGTGCCCTTCGTCAAAGAAATTATGGATTAGGTACTCAGACGGCGCATTGAGGACGAGGGAAGTAAGGTTCGTCATGACGGGAAGGTCAAGATCCCGGCCCTGTGAGATTTTCATGCAAATAAATTTTTAAATATGCATGAAAAAAATTAGATTAAATTAATTAGATAAATTAATTACCTGTATATTTACTGGATAGTAAAACCCATGTGCATGACCATCTGCGTACCCCAATTCCAACTTGATTAATGAATCCTTCACGGAGGTCAACATCGATGTCACAGCGGCCATGTTGAATTTGGGACAAGCCGCGTGCGCGTTGGTACAATTTACGAATAAAAACTTCAAAACTTGGAGATTTCTGCACCCCTCTAAACTCGGATAGAACGAGGCCGTAACTTCTAAAGTGGTCAAAGTGGGGGCAGAGTCGATCAAGACTTTGAGCAGCGGCTGAAACGCGTGAATCCCGGATGTCCCGTATAGAACGTGTTGAGAAGTTTGAAACTTGAGCGAGGTCAAGTTTTTTTGAAGGGGCAACTTCCGAAGTGCTTGCACTCGATCTTTGTCCACGTTTGCGTTTCTGGAAGTGACCAAGATGGAAATCTGTTGGATCTGCGTGGACTTGAGGGTCCTCAAACCATGGAGAAATGCGGCCTCAAATTTTTTTAGGCTGACGTGAAATTCAATTTCCCTTGTGACTTGTGCCAGAGTGGAGGAGAGCTCGGTAAAAACTTTGGTGATCACGTCATCAGTCCTCTTGGTGGGGACGGAGGGGTCAAATCTGTCCAGGATGCGGATGCCTCGGGTCAGTTTTTCGTGGACAGGGGTCACCTGGTACAATCTCGATCCGTCGCAGCGGAAAAGTTTGTTGACGGGTAGAAAGGTTCGATTTCCTAACAAACCGGCGCCAACGTCGCCCCACTCGCGACACACTAGCCGAGCCGCTCTCAAGTCGGAGTTGTTAAGCTGGCCGAGAATAATGTCGAGAACCTGGTGGAAATTTAGAATTTCAATTATTTGGAGAAAGAAAGTAGGAATTTTGATGACTGACCAGAGGATTCCTCAAAGCTTTCGACATGGCGCTGTTATCGTCGAAAGATTCGAAGGGAGCTGTCACGTCTGGAATTGAGAAGATGAAATGTAAAATAAAAAACATTTCTTATTAATTTTTAAATTCAAATACAACGACGTATGTACATAAAATGCACGACTTACCCAAATCTGGAAAACTGGTTTCCCGTTGTTGCAAACGTGATGACCGTAATTTCATTTTGTTAATTCTATCTGTAAAATTACAAGTACAAAAGGTAATTAGTAGCTGTGCATTTGTTCATTCAATTAAATAAAAACTACAGATGACAGTTAGCAAACATTCAATTTATGTTTGTGTTAGAATGTTAGAATGTTATATTTATGTTAGAATGCAAACTACGTACGTTAATTATTGTAAAGTGAATTTCGAACTTCACTCACCTCTGCTAACCTTTGAATCAATTCAAACTCACAGATTTGTGAACAGAAATTGGAAGACGAAGTAAAATTCTGAATTAATCGACGACAGATGAACTGTTTGTTGGGCGCCAACTGCTCAGTTTCACAGAGTACGTTGGTAGGATTTCTGCGTTGAGATCCAAAGGCAAAAATTGTCAAATTCTGTCCTAGATCCTAGTGTAACGCTGCGCTCCGCTCCACCACCACTCCATCACGCATACTCAAATAGTGCACTGTTTACATGAAACGCACGTGCACTCATGTTTCTCGTCAAAACTTCTGTCCACTTTAATAAATATTTAATCCAAAAATAAATAAAACACACCTCTTCCACGAGACCTTTTAAAGGAAATTCTTCGCAACAGCACTTATTTTCCATAATTAGTGTCCACGGTTAGAAATTTGGCATGGTCAGGCAGATATTGATTTCTCGTATTAAATTTGCTACCGCTTAGTATTAAACTTATACCGGTCCGTAAAAATTTGCTACCGATATGGTAAACAGCAAGAAAATGATACACTTTTTAGCCCGAGTCAGGGCTTATAGAACCGTCATGTCCGTCCGTCTGTCCGGCACGATAGAGCCAAATTGACCGACTGAACCGATTGACTTGACATTTCTACTACCATATGCATATTGGACAAAGTTAGGAAACGAGTTCGAAGATGGGCGAAATCAGTCAAGTGGATGACCGGTGGGGGTCATCGGAGTGGGTGGGATATTATGCACCAAAATTTCAAAATTGTGCTAGAAAGCTGTAATTTGGTATAGAGCTTGCTGAATGCTAATGACTCTTAGTGGAAGAATATAAATTCAAATTACAAAAATTATCGTCTGAAGGGATACGAGGAGGTGACCCAGACCGATTTTTAAAAATCATTATATCGAGTCTAAATTTGGCATTTAGGTTGCTGATTGCTTGGAAGAGGATACATTAGAATTTAAAAAAATCATCTGGAAGGACCCTATCGGGTGACCCGCCGATTTTCCGAAATTAACATGGAAAGCTGAAACTTGGACCAAGAGATCCTTGCTGCTTTCTTATGAAATAATATGAAGTTAAATATGAACAAAAATTGGCCAGAGGGGCATTAGAGGGTGACCCCTACCGATTTCTAAAAGTTGATATAATCAGTTGAAATTTAGAATGGAGTCAAGAATTAGTGCAAAATAGGAGCACATAATTTTATAGAAAATTAGTAAACATGGGTTTACTAAGCAATGCTGGTTCGAGCTATGCAAAGCTGTACTGATAGGTTATTAAAAGTTTCCATCTGAAATTTGGTATGGGGGATAAAAACCACTTTTAGATAGCACACACAGGTTTGGAAGTTCAAGATGTTAAAGTATTTGATACCAAATAGTAGAAAATCGAACAAACATTTAACTATGAACTTCACGGAGTTCTGTAATATTATGTTGGTCAATTCGGAGAAAAATTTAGAACTCAGACTCACCGAGTCAGGGACTCTGTCCCTGACTCGGGCTGTAGTATGCACTGTGTAGGTTTTCATTGTGTCTATGTACAATCATACAATATAATTATTTTATGTACAGGCATTGACGCAGTAATAAAACCATGAAAGTATCAATGCAAACGAAACCATGCAGCAGCCAGCATTGGTTTCATGAAATGCGAAACAACGTGAGCTGGATGTGAGACAAAGTGTGAAACAAAGTGAGACGTGGTGGTGGTGGTTTCATTCCCGGCAACCAAAATTTTGCCTTTGGGTCTGCAGGCCTAAAACTGACCATCCCACTATGAGAATCATGTGGAATGGAAACCATCAAATGAATTGTTTACCTGCTGATGCTGATTGAGTCAGGTGTGCAAATACATACATTTAAATTGGGCGGGGTACTGTGAGATGACAACTGACAAGTTCTTTGTTTTCATAGCGTGCATGTGTATATGCTAAACTGTTAATTGAATTAATTGTTAATTAATTTTTGACTTAATCACAATTTGTAATAATTACGGAAAAACAAATATAAAGGACGCTAAAGTTGGCTAAAATTTGGTTTGAAACACTACTGGGCCGACCACTTTTATTGCGATATGAAATCCAAGATCTTCTAAAAGACGTACACAATTTCAAAATTTTGAATAGGTCAGTCCTAATTTAAACAGGACAATTAATAGACCGTTCTCATAAAGTAGCTATAAGTAGCTATAAAGTAGCTTTTCATAAGTAGATATGTACGTTCATCCTCTCAAAAACTGTGTATTTAACCATGCGATGAGTTTGCATGGAAATTTTTGGAAACATTACAGAGCACAAAGTTGCCGAAATGACTAAAGTAAACGGAGAAGAGGAACAAAATACGTCTGGTGTAAAAATTTACTACCGTTTTTGAGTAACAAAACCTCTCCAATATTTTCATGAACAATTTATAGTATTTCTCCTCACTTTATTTTATTCATGACTCGCCAAAATATTGAGTTTTGCATACATACATATTTACATAATGATCAATTATTAACTCACAAAACAAATGAATATAAACATATTTTCCTATTAATGCTCCGAAACCACAATATCCACCGGACTATCAGGCCCCCCTTTTTCCTCATCGGCACCACCACCACCACCCCCCTTCTGAACCTTGAACCTTTGCCCATTATTCCCCGGCTGAGGAATTGGTTTATCCCCCACGGTAAAATCCACCTTTCCGATATGTTGTCGCCTCGTACTATCCGGATAAATCAGGGATGGCGATGCGGAATCCGTGATCAAATCGTACTCCGAAGTATTTCCCATGTCGAGCACTTCCCCCACGGGATTTTCAACTCGCCCCTGTTTTTCCCCCTCGTCCGACCCCACATTTTTCGTAAGGACGACCAAGCCCTCCAGAATTTCTTGCAGTTGAACTTGCGTCTGCGCAGAGAAGAATTTGACCTCGTCCATGACCAGCAAGGAGGTCACGATTCGTTCGACGGAGGGTTTCAAGCGGAATAAAATTAAGGGTTGGGCCTTCGAGTTGAACACCTTGAAGAGGTCGACGATTCCTTGGGCGGCCGTGTAGTCGGCGAAGTGCATGTGGAAACAGTCAATGACGACGGGAAGGTTGCCGTAACCCCAGCGTTCGCCCGATTTCATGACCACCGTCCGTGTATACTCGGCTGAGGGGAAGGTCAAGGAACGGTCAAGGTCGACTAGGATGAAACGAGAGCCGGTGGTGGATAGCTGTTAGTAGGGAAAGAAAAGTTGATTTAGAGTGTCGTTTTTTGTGGGTTTTTCACATTTCTTGTACTGCAAAGTAAGAAACGCAAAAAATGCAAGGTGCAAGAAATTGCATAAAGGTGCAAGAAATAAGCGCCATCTAGCGACGCTAAGAACTATAGCGGAAGTAGTTTCTTGCTCTTTGAATTTTTTGAGGGTTAAAATAGCTGCAAGGAACCAGTTTTTTACAGTGATTTCTTGTAAGTGGTTATTTGTACCCGAAAAATTGTTAATCAAGTATATGATTATAGCATGGAACAAATTTAAAACTGGCGAAATTAGCGATTTATCTGCTTACTTTGCACCTATTCACTCTTATTTTCGGAGATGCCGCCCAGTACAGGAGGAAAACCACGCTGATTAAAAACCCCACTAGAAGACCGTACTGCAAACCAGCGAAAAGACTGACCAAAAACGTGACACCCCACGGAATCAAGTCCATTCCTTTACATTATAATAATTGCTTAATTATTAAGCTGCATAAATTAAGTGACGTTTACATAAATATATTTACATACTCTTGCACTTCCACAATCTTCTCGGTAATATGAAATCAATCGTAAAAATTGCTCCCTATTTTATTCGGGCAATAAAATAATAAAATAAACTTATTTTTAATAAATTTTATTTAACAAATTAACTTTTATTAGAAAATTTAATAGAAGTTACCATAATATTCATGGCGGCTATCGCTGGCTTGGGCATGTAGTAAAACCATGGGGTGCAAAACTGGAGAGAAATCAAGACCAAGACTCCCGTCACAATGCCCCCCATCGGGGTTTCCACGCCACTCGCGTGATTTACTCCGGTCCGGGGGAACGCTCCAGTGATCGGCATCGAGCCGAAAAAGCTAGACGCAATATTGGATAGCCTGAAAATAAATGTTTTAAATAAATAAAAACTAAACAGGACTATCTAAAAATAGCAATAATCAAGTAATAATAAATTAGCTAATTTAAATAATAAGATCGCTAACCCAATTGCAATTAACTCTTGACTGAAATCGATGCTCTTTGCTCCAGAAAACTGTTTCGCGTTAAGAGAATGTTCCATTAAAGCGAGAAATGGGAAAACCAAGACGACCGTGGTGTCTTGTCGTATCAGGTCGAAAATAGTGTAAGCTTTCATAAACTTTTCATCCTCCTCGCTGTCGTGGAAACGTGTAGTGTTTACTTCATAACGAAACGGTGGTGGGGTGGGGGATGGAATACCGGCTTGGATTTCGCCTAAAAAGAGTTTATTGAGGACATTCATTACGAGTTCGCATCGTTAGTAAAGTTAGTAGAAAAATAAAGTTAAAAAAAAATTGGCTTGAAAATTCATTTGCCAACTTGAGAATTTCCTAGGGTAGTATTTACTTCAGTTTTTTAGGTGCGATACGAGCATGCAAACTCGTAGTAAATAATCCTCATGTTTTTTTCTTATGAATTCGTAAAAATCAATATCTCAAAATCACAATATTCTGTATTTCATAAGTTTGCAAAAACTAAAAATCTCTAAGAATCGACCTACATCCTTGACCAAAAATATTCTAAAATTTCATATCTGATTTTAAGTTTCCATAAAAATTTTCTCACCCAAAATCCCGACGATTGTTTCACTCCCAATGACAGCGAATACTATGGTGCACGCCAAAGTGACAATGATCCCTCGCGAGACGGAGATCAACCAAATTATTTTGCTCCATGGCTTCCCACGTTTAACGACACGGGAAAAAATGCACTCCAATTTCTATATACAGAAAACATGCTTGAACAATTAAATCGTTACTCATCATGAATCAGAGGTCGACGCCGACCAATTTTCGGCGGTTCCATCCAGTTTTGGAAATCAAATTTATCGGCGGCGGCGGCGGCTATCAAAATGCTACCGGCGGCGTGGCGTCGTACAATCATACCTGTTCGCCTTCATTCATGTGACTGATTATGATGGTGAATGAAAATGAATTTCCTGTGATTTGAATCAAAATGAGTGAAAGTTTCAGAATGAAGTCAGATGAAGTAAAACGAAATGAGTTTTTTGGAAAGGAAATGACTAAATGTGAATGAAAATCTTCAGTCAGAAATCTAGATGACTAAACTTTGAATGAAAAATGTTTCTTTGAACAGGTATGCGTACAATCGACCTCTGTCAGAAAAAAATTAAAAAGACGCACTCGCAAAACCAGCAGTGCCACCAAACATCCCCCCGCCACCGTGATGTCCCACGTTCCCACTTCTTTGATATGCTTGACCGCTCCCTCCGCAATTTGGGTGAAGCTGACTCCCGTGAATTTAATTCCCAATAAGGGCTTCGCTTGGGTGTAACAAATCGTCAATGCGGCCGCGGATGTGAACCCGCTCGAGACAGGAATTGACACGAAATTGACGATAAAGCCGAGTTGCATAAAACCCAGGGCGAGGGTGGTAATTCCGGTGAGAAAGGTGAGTAAAACGACGTACTCTTCCGGTTTGTCGTGACCATAGGTGTACGTCATGATGCACATCACGGCTAGATTTTATGACGACAATAAACGAATGTTTAACTTAATTTTTATAAAATTCTTGCAAAATCTAATAAAACGTGGGTACCTGTTGGGCCGATCGTGACGTAATTCGTTGAGCCAAAAAATACATAGACGAAACATCCCATAAATCCAGAGTAGAGACCGTACTGGAAGTTAGAGAAATTTTCGAATCTAGTCGCTAACAGTTTCGTAAACATAGTGACAAATTCAAATTTCAAGCTATTCATTTCGGCTAAGAGTAGCCGATCGAGACATGAGTACGTATATCTTGAATCAAGGCCTTCAGTCACTTTACATAATTTATGCTGCATAACTATTCTTTAACATGGGGCCACTTTAGAATAATTAACCACCATGTTACGCAACAATCTTAATCATGAAATAATTATGTATTTACATATGAATGTGATAGGCTTGCTGTATAAACTGAGTCTTATGTAATCAAAATTAGGCAATCTCGCCATTATGCAAAGGTGCATTATGTAAAGTGGCCTATTTAAGCCTCATTATCAATTTCATACCCTTGGCGGCAACCCAGCCAGCAAAGCTAACGCTTGCGGAATTAGACTCAACCCAACCAGCAATCCCGCCAAAAAGTCGTGAATAAACTTCCTTCCGGTGTATTTGGGAAGCCATTTTGAAATCGGGAAAAATCTGAGACATCTCTTGACGCAGTATTCTTTGAAGGGGACTTCCGTATTGAACTTGTCGCTTTGGCAGGACTCGTCTTGTAGCGGGTCGTTAAAAATGGTGGCAGAACTGCCACCCCCACCGCCCCCTCCTCCTCCTCCGCCCAAAAGAGTAAATATGGGAAGTTGAAAGAAGGAATTTCTCCGCGATGGAGGCTGCGATTCAGTCACGTTTAAATTATTCGGGGCGGAAGCAGATCTATGGAAGAGGGACGCTATCGAGGGGGACCGCTGTCTTGTGGGGGTGTACACGGTTAAATATTCTTTCTCCATGGTTATGACAAACTTGGAGATTTAAACGTAGCAAATTTGACGATTTAAATATATGTATCTAAGCTGGGACGTGAAGCTTGACGAGCTGGTAACGACGATCTGGGAGACGAAGCATGATTTAGGAGTGAATTATATGTCATGTTAAATTGAAATGGGTGGGATGCGACAATTTATAATTAGCAAAAGAGTTATAAATTTTCCGGTATTTTGCAGCTTAGAGCGGTTTCTCTTTGACGCGGAGATTCCATGATGGAATTGGAACTTTATGTGAATGTTTTGTCCGTCCCGATCCTTCCGTCAGGTATACATATTTACAACATCAGTAAACATGCATTATGCAATATACATAGGTAACGTTATTGTCGGCTTGTAGAGTAATAGGAATCCACTTTCGGTCAAAATATTAAGTAATTATCCCCATGAAATCCTCTGGTATTTATTATTTAGGTACTGATCAAATTTGATTCAAATTTTAATGTGTAATCTGCACAAATAAGTAAGCAAACGGTACATATATGTATGTACATACATATATGCATGCATAATTACTCCTTTAGTGCAATAAAAACCCGAGGAATGCATTACTTCCGCTGCTTTGTTACCTCTTATGTATCACGAGGGGTTTATAAAACGCTTTATTAAAAAACATTTTTATGTTGAAACTATCTGACGCAAATTGTTATCATTTACGATTCTACCTTGACTTTGCTTTGAATTTTTGTCGAGAAAACCCTGCACACGAAAGGTATGCGTGGCGTTCATCTTTGCATAAACAATGTCATCATCAACGAGCTTATCTTAATTTCGGGTTTTATGAGGGACCAGAAAAACAGTTTCATGGTGTGAGTGAGATCATCCACGCCCCTGACAATGGAGACACAGCGAGATTTATGCATCTGTGTGTGCATAATATGTACGTCAGAAGGGCAAGATTATTTATTTCATTGTCAGAAAACAATTTAATCTTAAACGGTACAATGTCCTGTAAACTTTTTGGCAAATTGATTCAGTTCCAAGCATTACATTGAAGCGGCGGAGATGCAAAGTACATACCCATGAATTTCTGTAAATTAAAAGTTTCTGAAACTATCTTTGCCGAAGGGTGAAATTAAATAGAAATTCTTAATGGGCTTATCAGTATGAGTATTTAATAGTTTAATACATACACAACTGCATTTCCAATTTTCTTATAAAATTTCGAAACAAATGGTTTGCAAATCTCGGCTAATAAAAGTCAGAATTATCTGCATTTACATATGTAGTTGTAATTTTTACAACTAAATGCAGATAATAACATATTGCATTATAAGAATGTAATTTACCTTAGCATAATTAGTTGTGTCGTTAAATTAGTTAAAAATCAGTCCCTACTTAAATACTTAATTATTTCTGCCGCTCTCCATCCTCCTCCAACAATTTTGACGCAGCTTTACAACTATCCGCTCTGCAAGAATCCAATGCGTCTTTATTCTTCTTATTGATCTTATCTTGCGCCCGTTTGCTCAATTTTTTCATATCGGCGCTAATCATCCCGCCCACCTTGGCGAGAGAGTCGCCAACCATGTCCAGCGCAGAGGAGCCGTCCATCATCGCGGCCCGCTTCGACCTTCCCGCCGAAGTTCCAGATTGTCCCGCATATTGCGCCATCACTTTCGAACCAGAGGCCACCTGACCCTGTAACTTTTTCATTATGGCCGCCCCCACCTCTGGATTGTCTTCCATGGCGATAAGCCCAATTTCTGTTAAAGTTGTGCCAATTTGAGAGACCGTGTCGCCAATTTTTTTCGTAAAGTCTAACACCTTTTCCAGGTCGGGGTCTGGGATCGGAGTGATGCAAATAGGACACGCGTACAGTGCCCAGATCGGTGGCACAGTGCCAGAACCGGACCGGATGTTGGCGGCAAGTGTGACAAAAGGATGGTGGTGGGGGTGGTGCACGTAAGGAACTGTGGAATCAAAATTAGCATATTCTGAAATTTCTTAAAATATATTAAGCGAAAATTATTAGCTTGGGTTTCCTAAACTTAAAATTCGATTCAAGAAAGTAATTCTGCCGCTAACTAATTTTCATACGTAACGCATGCAACAATTAATCTGAAGGTATATACATACACACATGCATGTATTGATGATGGAATAGATAAGCAAATTGTTTGTATAAAACCTGAGACATTGACACCGAGAAAATTCACGTAGTAATTGGTAGCTTATAAAATCCACAAATTTTGCAACATATCTAATTTTATAAACTTTTGCAATGGATAAAGACGCCTTTTTGATCTGAGTAAGTTTACAAAAATGTGGTAACTAATTTTCCTCCGAAATATTTCTAAAATTTTGTCAAGGTTTGTACTGATGCAGAATTTACGAAGTTTACAATGTTACCCAAGCCTGAGTAAATTGCTTCACTGCTAAAAAATTAACTACCCAATACACATATTCTGTGTTAATGATATCAAACTATTTTAACGATTATGCAGTTTAATTAATTAAATACCTGGGTAATTTCCCATAACCGTGAATAGATTTACTACACCGACCACTACCTGGACCAACTTTCCTCCAGATAGTTTTTTCATGGCACCGATAACAGTAAAATTTACTGATTATTTCAGATTTTCAAGAAAACTGTTCTAAATTAAATTTTGATAAAAACAGACACAACGGAAGAAATTCATACCATATTTGATGATTACAGACTCGACGACATGAACAAAATGACGGTAAAATAATCAATTTCAGTTGATAAATTTATTACCAAATGTCCAACTTCTCAGAGACCGACTGACAGACAGACAGACGCAGTCAGATAATGATCTCCCTGAATACATGAACCACTTTCACTCAAAAACGCATCATCACACATGCACATTTGTGACTCGATCTCACTCGACGAGTTGATTGATGTTTGTTTTTTTCTGCCTGAGTAGTCATAATAATAATGACCACTCCGTCCATTCATCTCATTTCAAGTCAACGACGATCTATGATGGCAGGCCCGTAGCGACGTTTCGTCCGGCCTGGAGAGCTTTGTCGCGGTACGGCCTAATGTAGCGCATGAAAAAAATTCAATTAGGGTTTTCATACATAATTTTTTATTTCAGTTTTCAGTTGAAATTAAGCTACACCAGTTTTTAGCACAGGTTTTCCTTCAAATACAAAGTATTTTAAAATTAATTATACTAATTTACGTGTTATGCACAACTAATGCTTGTAATTTAACAAAACCCAGGTGTTAATTATAAATTTTGAAATACAAAATTTATGGATTAATGTTAACTTTTGTGCATTTTGTCACCGCAAAGTCATGGATTACTTGTTCGAACGAAATTTTTTCTGTATATTCTTTTTCAATTGATAATATGGCCAAATTGCTGAGTCGTGTTTGGCCCATCGATGATCTTGAATAATTTTTAATTATCTTCAACTTCGAAAACGAGCGTTCGTTGGACGCCACAGTCACTGGGAGGGTCAGGAAAATCCGAAGTGCAGTGTGACAATTAATAAAAAGTGGTTGTAGCCCATTGCACGTTAGAATATTTAAAATCTCTAGCGGAGTTGTAGAACCTAATTTCTTGTCTTTGGGATCCAAGAATGGTTCAATAGCTGACTTTAGATGTTTAATTTCATTTTCGAAACCCGTAATATCCAAGTCTATTTCATATTTCATTGCAAGATCCTTTGTACATTTTAATTTTTGTTCCGTTCCGTCGTTAGCTAATCGATCTCCCCATAAAAAATTAAAATCGTGTAAAGTTTCTGCCATAGTTTTAAATCTAGTCTGAAATTCCTCAGAGATCTTGTCGAGTATATTGTTAAAAAAATCAATCTTAAATTTCTCAAGGTTACTTGGTTGTTGAAGTGACTCACTCTCCTCGATTCGGAACCTAGCTGGTTTATTGCCACGATTTTTTCTGTAATCAAATCCAGAATCTTGATTTATTCCATTTTCTTCAGCTATTATTTCTGACTTCGAAACGGATGATTCAAATCCCGTTAGTTTGAATTCTTCTAGATAAGCAACAACGCCTGCGATGTGTTTTGTGGCCTGATCCAATGAAGTAGTTTCTGATTGTATTGCAATGTTAGCCTCATTAATTCGCGAAAGAATCGATGCCCAGATATTCAGTCCCAATATAAATTTGAACGTACAAATTTGAGTCAAATTGGAACTAGCGTCAGCTACCGTTTGAATATTTGACTCGTCTGAGTTGATTAATTCCTCCAGAGCAATTATAACTCCTTTGAACTCATCTAAAAGTGTGGACACTGCGATAGCTCTGGCCGCCCAACGGGTTGTTGACTGACCCTTCAGCGATTTTTTGACATGCTTTTTTAATGTTGCCCATCGGGATGTGGAAGCTGAGAAAAATGTGAATAGATTTTGAATCTGCCCCAGAATCAGTTTCCCGGCAAGAAAACTACTAGCAGCGTGCTGTCCAACAAGGTTAAGGGAATGTGCAGCACAAGGGATAAAACTTGCAAGTGGGTTAATTTCGTGAATTCTGGCCTGGACGCCCCGATATTTTCCACTCATATTGGCTCCATTGTCGTAGCCCTGTCCACGGCAATTTTGAATTTCAAGATTATCAGATTTAAGCTTATTTAGAATCATCTCAGCAAGTAGAATTCCAGTTTTTCCGTCAAAGTTGATGAAGTCAATAAAATCTTCCTCGATTTTGCACCCATCTTCATTAAAGGAAACCGATCGAATTATTTGGCTAATTTGCTCCTTGTGAGACGTGTCCGGCGTTGAGTCAAACATTATCGAGAAATATTTTCTTTCCTTGATTTTCTCCAAAATTTTCGTTCGTACAAGTTTTGCTGAGAGGTCAATAAATTCATTTTGAATTTGAGGTGACATGTAATTAGTTTTCCCCTTCTTCAATCTTTCAATATGTAGTGCTAATGGAGGATGGTACTTGCTCAATAATTTCACGAGTGAGAGGAAATTGCCACAATCTTTACTGTTAATATCTGTTGTTGTTCCACGCAGGGCAAGGTTATTTTTGGATAGGAAAATTATGGCATCAAGTAATCCCTTTAAGACTTCTTTCCAAAATCCAATTTCCATGGCAGATTGGGCTTGCAAGCTTCTTGAAATTTGCTTATTTGAATCTGCAAGTTTTCTGTATGTTTTCCATAGTATCACTGCTTGAAAATGGTGCTGGGATTCTTCGTGTGCTTGAATACCACGGGATTGATGGGCAAAATCATTGAATCCAACAACATTAATACCATGTTTCACAAATGTCGATGACGAGTTTAGAGAATTCTGGCTCGATGAAAATAAGCAGCACGGGTAGCAAAATAAACTGTTTGTACTCTCACTATACGCCAGTCCCTTGCAGAGTTAATGCTGTTGTCAGAAATGTTAGTCTTGAAATAATGATTATCATTGAAGCTGACTTGTCCGTTTTTTGGATACATTTGTAATCGCTTTTGGATAGCAAGCCCACTAAGAAGTATGTCCTTCTGAATTGCGGAAAGTGGATGTGTGTGTGAAGTACTGAGATCGGCGGAGTCAAATAATATTTCGGTCGGTATTTCGGATTGTTTTGCATCTAAAGGAAATCAAATAAATTAGTAGTTCCTATGTCCTAGACATGAAGATATTATATGCAATGGTTACCATTATTGTTAGGATTTGAAGTTATTTCCGAGCATGCAATTTCTTCTAACGACAAATCATCAGTTTTCTCAGTGGATGACTTCACATTGTCCGGTTGTTCCAAATTGTCAAGAGGTAATTCAGCCGACGAGCTTACGCCTACAAACAGGAGACAATATGTACATATTTATAAATCAAATTTACCCTAAAATACATATAAACTACAAAGGATAATTAAAATTGTAGCGTAGTAGGCACATTAAATTAATTTAACCCTTGATTTTCCAATATAACTAACGAAAATCAACGAAAATCATTTACATACATAAATTTGTGTTTTGTGCACTGCTAAAAATTACCTGAATCCGTAATTGACATGGAAATTGATATAGGGAGACATTTTTTAGTGAATTTTGCCATTGAAGAAGACAGTCGTCGATTTTCTTCTTCTTTAAGTTTCCGTTTCCTGATTTTTTATGCTCCACTGGCCTCCTTTCTTACAGCTACTAGTTTGAAATTTTCCTCCTTCGGTCGACCCATTTTAAATTTAATTAATGGTCTAATTTAATTATAGTAATTATTGCAAAAACAACTACAATTACAAAATTAGATTTATTGCAAGAAACATGCGATAGAATGGAGTGATTTTCCACCATTCCAAAACTGAGTCGTCCAATCTGAGACTATTTCTTATGATCGATAATTGACTTGCTGCATCTCACACCGTCCGTTCCCAAATAGGCAGTTGAAAAGCATTTAGCCAAGCACTGGAGTCATGAAAATAGTTTCCATTACATACTTACATCCATATGTATGAATCACTGAAATGCTAAATTTGGTGCAAAAACGAAAATGTCACAACTTTGTAGTGATTGTAGCATTTCAATTAAATTTGAATTCCTAACTCAACAAATGCTTTACATTACCTGAAATACAAATTACAATGTTGCAGCTAACAAACGGGACATTTTTAATGGTTGTTTTTATTTGAATTCAAGTTGCCTGGCATGTCATCGGTGGCAACTTACATATGTAGGACATGATTAGCCACTAATGATGCATATTAAAAGAATCCCATAAAAACGATAAAAATAAAAATATGCGAGCAGGTTATGATAAAGGTTGTTTCTCTTTTTATGTATTGGTTGGAGCCTTCTCGGGTGGCCCTTCCCCTACATGATCTGGTGATCATAGCAAATTTAAAATATATGAAATGCATATTATACAATTTTTATAAAAGCCCAAGCTTTCTTAGACCATCTTAAACCCAATAAATTATCTAAAAGGTCGGTATTTGTTACATATTGCCCTATTTCCAATCTTTTACAGCAGTAATATTACTTCTGTTTCGGAATTTGCAACGGCGATATTCTATAAAGTTATATAATGCCACTGAACTCTTGAGGGAAGAATAATGAATGCTTGAGTCGAATTGCGGAATAGTTAGATATGGATGGTCTTTTTATCTAGTGTACAACCGATGGACGCCGCACGGCCCTTCGGGCCGTACGGCCTGGAGAGTACCTCTCCATGTCTCTCCACCGTCGCTACGGCGCTGTATGATGGTAATCTATCCTCCTTTTTGTGTACTTAATTAAAAGGAAGCAATAAGTTAGTTGAAATTGGATGGCTTAATGCGAGCAAAAATTGCTGTATTTTCCTCACTTGGGGCGTATATGAGAGAGTGAGTGACGTATTTAATTTGTATCGCCTTATTATTGCCCATGTATGTACAACATGTAATGGATTAATTTAATGTGATCCAATTAATCAAGTACACGCACTTGCAGGAGAAGCTGTTATTTGTATGAAGTACCTGAAAACAGTGAATTTTTTGCTAATTATTTTTATAAGCTTCTTTTAAATAATGATAACAGTTATGTAAGCCCATTAAGCTAAATACGTACAAATAAATATAAATATAATGCCAAATTATGATACGCTAACCGTAACATCATATTTATTTATTGCTTATTTGTTCATTATTCGCTCTTTTATCTGTGTATTTCTTATGCAAGATTAAATTAGGTTTTGAACTTTAGCTACATATGTATTTGAAGTAACAAAACCCACTTGAAAGTAACTATATTTGTTCACAAACTATTGTATATTTACAAATGTAAATACATACTAAATACTTAAGTAGAGTTTCTATCCTGGAAAATTATGCATGATATATATGCGGTATGTATTTATTTCCACGGCGTGTTAAATAATGTCCGGCTTTCTGTAAATACATATGAACGAATTGACGACATGTACGAATTTTTATGTATGTATGTATGTATTTATGTACATATGTATGCGTACCTACTAAAAATAGTTGGAGTATATTTTTATTCTCAAGCCATATAAATTTATAAACCCATTTCTCATACATGAAAAATGAAAAACGTTCTTGGGCAAGAAAGTTGAGAAATTCTAATCCTATGTATAGCAATAGCAGTCAGCAGTAAAAAAAAATGTTCACAGTAACTCTCATTTATTGCCCTTAAAATTTGTAGTTCCTTAGAAAGGACTCCAATCCAGGACTGATTATCCAGTCCTACCTATTTCACGTTATTCGTAAAACGACTGGAATTTGTCAACCTTTTTTTTAGTCCTTTGAGTTGAATCGACCCTTTCTTTCAAACCTTCAAAGTCACCTCAAAGTAACCACGTGTGACATGGTAAAAAATAACGCTACCCTTTCACAACTCTCTCATTCGCTTCTGGATTCTTTCCATCGGCAAATTGGATAGTCGTGCAAAGTCATTTTCCACAGAAAAATTGTCGTTTTCTATTTAATAGTAGGTAAGTAATTAGTTAATTTAATACGTTTTTTCTCCAATTAATAATAATGCGTAGAAAACTTAAGTAATAATTAATCCACTGTTAGAAATCGTCAGGCAGGTATTGACTCCCCGGTGTTAAAGTTGCTTCCGTTTGGTATTAAAATTATTGTGATCTGTAGAAATTTACTACCGGCCTGGTAACAATTCAACACCCAGCTATTACATACTACACGGTATTACCATATGAATACCGCTAGATATTCTTTTAATATTAAATTTCTAAGAAGGGGGATGTCAGATATATGCTTTATTAAGTAGCTTCAGCTACTTTATGTGAAGACTTTGTCTGTCTGTCTGTCTGTCTGTCAGCAGGATATCAGGAGAACGGATCGAGATAATCGAAATCGGTTTTCGCCATCATACATAGGACCCCAGGGGGAGGATCCTATCAACTTTTGGGGGCAACCGGACCACACCCCCTTTGGCGACAGGGGGTGTGGTCGGGGCAAAATGAGATTTTTAGTGCAATTTAATCTATAGGTGAAATAGAGTAAAATTATGTGTTCCGGAGTTGTGCCACACCCCCTCGGCGCCAGGGGGTGTGGTTGGGGCAAAATGAGATTTTTACAAAAAATTAATCTATAGGTGAAATAGAGTGAAATTAAGTGTTCCCGAGTTGTGGTGGGACCGTTTGGGGTGAAGTACGTCTGAAGCTACTTCCGTATGCGCGTTTGCGACGGTTTATTATACTTGTGAACATATTTTAAAATTATTTGTTTATTATTACAGCGTTATTCAGCTACAAACCATGTTTCGCCCAAGCGTAATCGCTTTCGCTACCGACGCCACGCAAGTTTTTGCCAAGAAGTCGTACGTTGAACAAATAATGGACGCGGAAGAGGAAGATGCTCGAGTGAAATGCGTGGTAAGCAACTTGCAAATTTCACCGAATTTTATAAAATTGCACTCTTTAGCTAATTTCTAATATCGGATTATCATTTTTTTTGTACAGATTTGTGACAAAGTTTTCAAAAATAAAGCCAACTTTACCGCCCACAAGAAATACATTCACGGCAACCGAGAGCGAAAAACTTGCGCCACGTGTCACAAGACCTTTTCGACCAAGGGATATTTAGAGCGACATACTGAAACCGTCCACTGCTCGGAAGAGCGACCCCGGTTGTCCTGCACGTTTCCCGGCTGCGACAAGTCATTCCTGACCAAGGCGTACCTTTCGGAACATGTGAAATCTAATCATGTCGAAAGTCCGAAAATTCGCACAGTGAGCGAGAAGACCTTAAAGTGTCCCCTTTGCGAGAGGCTATTCGCAAAGATCGGCACTTTGAAACGGCACGAGGTAAGTTGCCAGGTGGCCTCAAGTTAACCTAATTTACATAAATTTAGCTCACAATGGAGGTCTCCCAGCGGATGCTCTCCGATTTTTCCGAAACTAATGCCAATCCAGCACAAATTTGAAATTGTGAAATTTGCAAAAGGCACTATCCAATAATTCGCCAAGGTATTTGCACCTAAAGAGGAGAAAACGGGCCCCAAAGTCGACAAATTGTAAACTTTCAAAACTTACTGAGCATTTTCTCGTCATCGGATGGAAATATGTATTTATCTCCACCGAACATGAGCTTTGGTAGATGGTACCTTCTGCAAATTTCATGCTAATTAAAGATGAGTACCGTACAAGGAGGTGATAATGTCAACTTTGACGGGCTAAAACTACCAGAAGCGAGCATTACGTTTCTTAGCTTTTTTGCCATAAAATCAGTCATATCCTCATCTGTACGTGTGCAAAAAAGCTAAGAAACGTAGTGCTCGCTTCTGGTAGTTTCAGCCCGTCAAAGTGGTGTGGGTTTTGGAAATTTTGCAAAATATTCGGGAAAAATTATAAAAAGACCAAGGAGACTGTCGTCATGCGACCCCGTGGTCAACAAAACTCTGCTGTTTTCTTGAAAGTTAGTTTTTAGCACGAGTCTGGGCTTATGGAACCCTCATGTCCGTCTGTTCGCCCGTCCGGCCCATCTACACGATAGAACCAAAACGGCCTAACAGATTGACTTGAAATTTTCACCATATGCATATTGGGCAAAACTTTGCAAAGTTAGGAATGGAGTTCGAAGATAGGCGAAATCGGTCAAGTGGTTGACCGGTGGGGGTCATCGGAGTGGGTGGGAATTATGCACCAAAATTTTAAAATTGTCATAGAAAGCTGAAATTTGGTACAGAGATTGCTAATGGCTTCTAATGAAAGAATGTGAAGTGAAATTGGAAAATTTTACAACCGGAGGTACCCTAGGGGGTGACCCATACCGATTTTTTAAAGTCGTCATATCGAGGTGAAATTTTGCATGGAAGTTGCTTATGGCTCTTAAGGGAAGAGTATAAATTGAAATTAGAAAATTCATCCGGAGGGACCCTATGGGGTCACCCCCTCCGATTTTCAGAAATTAACTTGAATAGCTGAAATTAGGAATTAGTCCTTAGTGCTTTCTCATGAAATAAACGAAGTAAAATATTAACAAAAAGTAACCAGAGTGGCAGTAGGGGGTAACTCATATCGATTTGTAAAAGTTGATATAATCAGTTGAAATTTAGAATGGAATCAAAAAATAACTTATGATTAGCATGTAGGAGGCTTAAATTTCGAAATTTTTACAGGAGCGACCTCCACTGGTCATGGGAAGTAGTTACGAGGAAGGGATAGCAATATTTTACAAAAGGCGTTAGGTGATTGTTTTGACGAATTCTCGGGTGAATATCTTTGGCGGGGAGTTGAATTTTGAACTGATTTTTGGTAGGTTGCAAGATAATACTCTCAAAAAGATATCTTTAAAATTTTAGGGTGATAGCTTCACAAATGCACCCTACAGTGCCCCCGGAGTTGGTAGAAGCCAAAAAAACACTTTCCAAACTTAATTGCTTATATAGCATGATAACCAAAGAGGTCAGAGGTGAATGATTGTTAATATAATAACCCTAGATAATCATTGCATGCAATAATAAAAGAATCCGTAATGAATCACACAACGTGGGCCTTCCATCATCGCGGATAGTTTGCCCAAAAAATGATAAATCAGACCGTGCGCGGAAAAATTAACCTGCTGACCTTGAAAGTTGACCCACCGGGTCAAATGCAGCTTGAGGGTAAAGCTGGAAGTGTCCTAAGTAATACTAAAACAAACAGTCAAGATTTTGTGTAAACAGTTTTATAGAAGGACCCGAGCTAATCAGCTGTCGCAGAATCCTAAAAGCTCGTGAACTTATTTGGAAAATTAATGGTCAAATTTTTTCGAAAATAAATTTTAATAATCTTTTGGTGTCCCCTGCTGCAGAACTATTTTATCTACAAGGTACAAGTGAAAAAATAATAAAATTATTGCGTTTTGGTTAGTTAAATTATTTCTGAAGTTCGACGTCGAAAACGACGGGAACTTTTCCAAAAAGTTTATAAGGTCTGATGAAAACTCAGTCCGTGGGGTGTAACCACTTATCAAAATTTTGTCAAAAGTACTTACAGTGCAATATACTATATGTACCTTGGATAAAAACCACGTTAGGGATTTTTAGCATCAAAGTCGTAAAATGTGGGGGCCTTAAAAGTGGAAGAGTTGCGTTAAAGAGCGCATTTCATTAGGACAAGTATAAATTAGACTGTAAAACGGACTTAAAAGATAAGCATGAGGCAAAAGTGGTTTTATATAGTGAAAAGCATGCTAAGTCCCTTAAAAATAGTCGCAAAAACTATTTTTGCATCAGGACCTCAGAAAAAAATATTTTGTTCAACGCCATTTTATAAGAACACTGGTTTGGAAAACTAAAAAAGGACACCTCTCCAAATTTGACCTTGCCTCATTTCGCAGAGTACACAAAATCGGAAGCCAGATATGCTTACCTATAGTTTGAGACATGGGCTTTCACATAAAAAAAGTTAGAAATCTCTACGACTAAAATCCATCCCGCAATTAAGGCATGAATTCGTCAAAACCATGTCCTAACGCCTTTTGTAATTAAAAATATTATTTTTAGAACTTGATCCAATACGAGGAATTGATACTAATGTTCATTCAAAATTAATATGCAGTAAAAAATCTGAAAGGTTATCTGGCGAAATATTCTTTTGCCATGACTTGAGTTTGTTTAAAAATACATTATTTTCCAACTTTCACAGTAATTTTACTGCATATTAATTTTGAACCAACAGTAGTTAATTCAAGATTCATTGCGAAATAGTAGCACATAATTTTACAGAAAACTATTGACAAACATGGGTTTATGTACTAACCAATCCTGGTTTGGGCTAAGCCCAGTGGCGCAACTACTTTTCGGGGGCCCCTAGGCATGCGTCAAAATTTAAACTTTATTAACATATGTATGTAGTAACTCGAAGTTCAATTTTTTAACTGGGATATTTCCATAAGCATTTCATCCTTCATATTCACTTAAAACTATGAATACCCGTTACAAATATATATCAAATCATACAACCAAAAACTTTTATCTAAAGTTTTAGTTCATTCTTTTATGTATCTAACAAGTAAACATACCGAGATGTCCAACGGGGGTGGTGGTAGACGCCTAGATATACCAGAATAACCACTATACATGGTCCAGCAAACTGAAGTTTACTGAAGGAATTTCCTTGTAAAATTCACTTTTCGTCAAGTTGTGACGAGCAAAATACATAATTTCCAGAACTTGTACAAATTCACAAAATTGTAAAAAATTGCATTACTTAAAAACTTAATTTTTCGCAAATTGTTTGAAATTTGAAAAAAATTCGCTGTGAAAATTATTTGGAATTTAAAAAATTCTGTTAATTTTCGAAGAGGACATGTGTTCGACCAGAACGTTCAGAGCCTGACTTCTCCTTCGGGGTATCGACCTCAAACTCGTTGGAGACCTCGAGTTCTTCCCAGATTAGTGCTTGGAAAGATGATAATTTCATCTGTTTAGGGTTGCCATCCGATCGGATAGGATAGGATAAAAATAATTTTATCCGGTCGGATAAGTCAACTGTTCGGATTATCCGAGTCGGATAATTTCAGAAATATTATCCTATCCGATATCCGTTGGATATCCGACGGATAGGATAGGATAATCAAATTAATTAGCGAAATAAATACAAAAATTTCAAATAATGCCAACAATTGTCGGCTAATCAATCTATGCTATCTTAAAAAAAATGCTGCACTGACCAATGACTGAATTACTAAGGGAATTGTAGGAATTAGAAGTGACACATATGTATGTATGTATTTGACAAACGCCTTCTGTAAGTCTCCACTTTTCTTTATTAGTTTAAATATGTATGATACGCAGTATGTAATCAGTTCAATTTATCACAATGTCAATATCCAAATTAATTAACAGAGCTAGATTGATTCTCTAAGCAATGGGAAAATAACCTTATGTATTACCATAGAAGGAACCGTTTTGTGTCTGGCATGGTCATAATTTATAACCGAATAGCAAAGATTTTAGAAACAATTATTTATTATCGTTGCAGTAGAGCCAAATATAATTTGGTTATAATATGTTACCCCACGCGAGTGTGAATTATCTACTCACTACCGAATGCCTTAAAAATTTCGCCTTAGTTATGTTTTATCTACAAATTCCATTTAACCATAATTTTTCTCTAAGGCCGACGACGGCTTACCCACCTACCACGACTACAATGTCAATTACCTTCTATTCTCCACCTTATTCATTTTCATTATTTTACTAAGAGAATGAAATTCTAATAATTTTACATCTACTGACTTTACTAAGATTTGTCTAGAATTACTTAAATATATATATGCATGGATGAAAATGAAATACAATTGGAGATGGAATATTTACTTTACTTTCGCACATACAACGTGTCCAAATTACACTTAACTCGTCATTTTTAAATTATCCGATATCCGTCGGATATCCGACGGAAAAAATCAGATAATCCAAGTCGGATAATTTGAAAAAATTATCCTATCCGACGGATATCCGAATCGTAATTTTCCTTATCCTATCCGACATTATCCCGGATAGGATAATCTCGGATAAAAACGGCAACCCTACATCTGTTTAATATTTTTGCAAAATTTCTATAAAGGTAAAAGGTCAAAGATATTGATTTTCTCCTTAAAACTCGTTTTCTTGGTAATATTTTTTTCATTTGTCGTTTAATTTTTGAGTTGACCCAAACCATCCTGAGCTTGACATATATTTTCGCACATTTCATTGCATTTTTAACAGGGTTATGAATTTTTGAATATAAAGTGATTTTTGAATAATTTACTTAGTGTTGCCGATGAGTTCTAAATTAGTTGGGTTTAAATTCACTAAAATTAGTCACCAACTCGTGCTAAATTGATATTTTTAGCATTGGTTGACTTCCAAATTGGGCTATCAACTCAAAAATAAAACCACAAGTACAACATACTAATTACATACGTAAATTACGTAACTAATAAAATGATATGAAATAACTTCTATTTCAAAATTTTTGAACAAGTTATTTTGAAACAAGATATTTAGATTTTGATACTGTGTTCACTCGGGGGCCCCCGCTGTCGCGGGGCCCCTAGGCATTGCCTACCCTGCCTATGTGCTATTTGCGCCACTGGCTAAGCCAAGCTGTACTGATGGGTTTTTTTAAAATTATTCAATCGAGATGAAACTTCGTACATAGTTTACTAATGATCCCTAATGGAAGAAGATGAAGTAAAATTGAGTAAAATTTTCACATCCGGGACCCGTTGGGGTAACCCATACCAATTTTCATAACTTGTCTCAAAAAGCTGAAATTCGGAACGGTGATACTTAATGGCTTCTCATGAAATTATATGAAGTCAATGATGAACAAAAAATAACCAGATGGGCAATAAGGAAGGGGTACCGATACCGATTTCTGGATTTCTAAGAATTAATATATTGAGCTAAAATTTAGTGTGGAGTTGAAAAATAACTTAGGATTAGAATTTAGGAGGGTTGAATTTCGAAATTTTATAGGACAGCCTCCACTGTTTTTGGTATTTGGTGCCAATTAATACTACCAACTGACCTTAGTTAAAGAATTAGTGAAAAATAGTAAAACATTCTGACAAACATGGGTTTACTAATCCATCCTGGTTCGGCAAAGCTGTACTTCTAGGTTTTCAAAAAATAATTCATTTGTCGTCACGTTATTTGTCTCTTTTTGAAATTGGTAAAAAATGATTTTTTCATGCTCGATAAATGTGACAATTAGTGAGAATATTATGTCGGGTGTAGGCAATTTGCGCCGAGAAAACGATAAGATAGATATAACCAGCGTCGTTGAATTAAGAATAATACAAATATTTTGGTGGAAATCGTCAGGTCGTTGGACAAAAATTTAGAAACGGACTCTGACCCTGTCTCGGGCTAAATAAAGTTCTTCGCATTTTTGTTGCCAACGGCGTTGTTATTTTTAATTGTTTAAAAATAATTTTTCGCTCAGGCCGTAAAAACCCCCTTGAACGGTACTCTCCTTTGTAATCGTTTTGACACCAATTAGGTCAAAATCCCAGAGCATGCGCTGGGAGAGCTGTATTGTCAATTTACGACCTAAAGAATCTAATTAATCCGTTTTTTTTTTCAGCTGACCCACGTCGATAAATCGACCCGACTCAAATTTACATGCAATCTCTGTCCACGCATTTTCTTGAGCAACAGCAGGCTAAAAAGTCACATCCAAGCTAAACACGAAAACCAGCGGAATTACAAGTGCACCCTTTGCGACAGGAGATTCGCGAGAGCGGACAATTTGAAATGCCACATGGAAGCGATACACCCCGCCGATAAGGAAGCCACGTATTCCTGCGACAAATGCGAGTACAAGAGTCACACCAAATTCTATTTAGCGCAGCATGCCAAACGTCACCGCCATGACGAGAGTAGTACAAAATGTGGGTGCTGCTTTTGCGGAAATAATACGTTAATGGATTTCTCAACATTGATTGGGTCCTTGAGTAGAAGGAATTCTCCGGAAAAGTAGGAATTAGGGAGATGAAGTTACGGTTTAATGTAATTTAGATAGTTCAATTTGTGTATGTTAATCTTAACGATGGGGACGCAAACCATGTACGAGTATATAAATACAGAAATATTTCTTTCCTTCCCAGCTTTGCAATAAAATTATCTAGACAAATTTTAGAAACAAATGAAATTTTATTTAAATGAAACAAACCGTCAATATTAAAAATACAGTTGAAATATGTAAAGTACTTACATAAATTGACAAACAGTAACAATTTAATTGGCACTACGAACACTTAGAATTTAGAATAATTTATAGATGTCAATATGTATTAAATCCACCTTTTACCCCCACATAAAAATATAAAATTCCTGATTCAATCAAACTTCAAATACTCCGGGTGAGACGCCACATTCCCCAAAAGTTGTTCATACCCTCGAACCGTGGCCCCTGTCGGATGCGAAATATTTTCCACTAACTCCTTCGCTTCGGTCAAATACTGCATCGCCAGGGGGAGCGTGGACGACTGCATTACTCCCAAGCAGAATCCCAGCTTTAGAGTGCCAAGTCTAGCCATCAATGACGCCTTGACTTGGGTCTGGATCGACAACAGTGTCTCAACTTGACGCAGCTTCCGGTTAACAGATTCCTTGGAAAGCACCTTAAAAATAGATAATGTTGTTATTAATACCTCTATCAAAAGTAAATGCACTCATTAGCGGCGGAAGCAGGGGGACACTGTCCCCCAGAATTTCAGCAATATCGTATCTTGCCCATGTTAATAATCCCTCCTCTCTCAATGATAATGACCCCAAACTTCCGCCGTCACTGAATGGACTTTCAACTCTAGATCACTAAAAACTAAATCCAGAGAAAACTTTACTCATTAATAATGAGTCATTATTTAGTTCACTTTACTTTGGATTTATAGCATATGTAAATAGTTGACTTAATATAGAATTCACATTGCTTGTAATTCTCAAAGGGGTAAGATTATTTTTAAGACAGTAAACCTCCGGAGTTTTCAGGGATCGATCAATCCTCTTTCCCTCGTCGATTAATCCGTTGAGATTGTCGTCTTGACAGAAACAGTCTGCTGGGCAAATGATGTTGTATGTCGACTGCAAATATTCTCTCGACTCTTGGGCAGATTCCGAGCTTGCGGTGCAGCTCGTCTCGTTGAAGGCAGAATAGCTGACAGTAATCTCTTCACCGGCGACGATATCTCGGTGAGCGTGGAGAACGACGGCCTGAAATTTATGTATGTTTTATGTAATTAGGTATTCCATTCTTAAAGATAATGTTACCCTTTTAAAAAAGTAATAATAATGCACTCTAAATTATATATTAAGCAGCCTATATTAATCCTAAATCCAGAGTAACGTTAACTTGAAATACATAGAGTGAAGTTGGATTTAGTATGGTTTGTCTAATTTAGAATTCAGAGTACATTTACGTTTCAAGGTTAACATTATTTTTAAGAGTGGAATTAGTTTTTATATCACAACGTCTTTTTAACTGTTGTTACATACACTCACCGCTTTTTCCTCGACCGGAAACCGGCTAGAATTGCACTCACAGGCATGGTTGATCAGGCTTAGTCGGCCTAATGAACTGACAATGTCCGACTTGGCGTTCGGATTGGTGGAGACAGAGCTGCTAAATATCTCTGCGATTGTACGATTCTCCACGACAAGGATTCTCTCTTTAGCTACGAGAGAGCGCATCGCCACGATTCCGAGACCTTTTCCCGGCACGGGAGCGACACACCAGTCCTCGTCTTCTTCGCCATACGAAATGCCGCACCAGTTCTTGTGCCCTTGACCTTTTCCACGAACTGAAATGAAGTGCAACAGTTTTGATTTTGTATATACTCCTAAAAATAATATTACCCTTTTGAAAGTTAAATAAACTTTCAATTATACCTAGTCTAAACTTAAAAAGTGATAGTAGAGTAGACGACTATATACATTAGGTTAGTTTTAAGGAATTTCAAATTTCTTTTTATTCCATTGAAAAGCCAGTTAAATTTCACGTAGGAAACATGTATCAGACTTGAAAATATATTCCTCCTGTGACCATGAAAAATTGGTTACCAGAGGAGAAGCCTCTATCAAAAATACGCACGAAATTTATTGAAATAGTGTATCATTCCCGGGTCAGAAATTTTTTGTGACCCTGACACTTCGATGGGGCTCAGAACAGACCTTTTCCTCAATTTTAATCATGATTTGGCGGTGAAATCAATTTCGGTTCGAAAATACCAAGGACAAACTTAAATCGGAAATGAAGTCAGAAATAGATTTCGTCAGCCAGGTTTTCACGAATTTCGCTGCATTTTTGCTATGGGGCCCTGCACATAGGTCGGTGGCTTTCCACCGAATATGGACTGGTCCAGGGGGTGTTACATCTTCATTATGACGTCAATCAAATATTTTTTAAAACTATCTCCTCTCCATAATCGAGGAAATTGGGCGGTTTTTGCCCAATTCCGCCGATTCCCGCCAAAACAATGAATGCAGCCCGATAAGATAACATTCGACCTCCTTTTCATAATCAACTAACCCTAAGAATATTCAGCATAAATTCTGCTTCTTTTTTTGTGGAAATATGGTTCCGTCTTAAAGAAATTCCCATCGGTAAATGGAAAATTTTGTTTGTTTTTTTACCGTACCGCTGGGAGAGGGAGGTCGATTTATTGACCTTAGCTTATGTCTAGGAAATCTGTAGCGCGTGATGCTTTCTACTACAAAAGGCCTCCATCTTAGGATCATTTTTCAGTGCTCATCTCATTTCTAAAGTTGAAAGGTCATTTGTATGGCCAAAGTCTTCGCCGTCAGACAGAGATTTTATGCTATTCTGGCGTTCAAAGCTTCGGACATCACTGTAGTCCTCCTTGACCTTGAACAACCGGAACTTTTATGTCATAAATAGTCACAGTCCCTAGGGTTAATTTAATGGGTTGGGCAAGCAGATCGTAGTTGTCCTTGAATTTCTACCCTATATCTAACATTGTGAATTTTTTGTGTCGCGTAAAAAGCGAAAACTTATTGTCGCGCGCGTGTGGTAAAGCTCCTCTAGCTGTTGACCTAGTGAAGTCAGGCAAATGAAGTTAACAACAATGATAGCCACTGAATGCAGGTACAAACTGCAACTTACATTTTAATTTTATGTTGACCGGGTCAAATACTACGCTCTACTATCACTTCTTATGGTTAGACTAGGTATACTAACAATGGAGGTGTCCCAGCATATGCTCTCCGATTTTGACCAATTTAGTGTCAATCTATCACAAACGTACGGATTGAGAGATCGTGTCTTTTGTAAATGTCATACAAATTAAATTTGTGATAGAATGACACTAATTTGGTCAAAATCGGAGAGCATATTTATACTGGGAGACCGCTGTTGTTGAATATAATTCAAATTGAATTGCATTTGCATATATGCAAATATATATATTTGAAAAGGGTGACATTATTTTTAACTAATTTTAACCTTTGCAAGACCAATCCAAAACTTGACATTCCTTCCCGCAGTAGACACGACGACGACATTTTCCACAGCGATGGACCGCCTGGCCAGATATTTCGAGGTGGCACAAGGCGCAATGGTGGACCTTGTCAGCAGCAGCATCTTTCACGATTTCTTTGTCACTCTGTTCCTCATTAGTCTGCGTCATATAAAGAACGGATTACAAATTAAATAATTAATCATAATTTGGGTAAGGTAGTTAGTTAGTTAATTAGTTAATTGACGCACATCCATATTCACGTCGGGTTGATTGTTACTCGATGTCGACGGGGTAGGATTTTCCTCCCCCGTGTAAGCGTTATATAAGCACCACCGTGGACGGAAGTTCAATCTGGATTTAGAATAATTTAGATCAATCATCGCAATTAAACTGTGTAATTAATAAGACAGTAAAAAAATCAATATTTACCGTTTTATTTTGCGCCATGAGTCCCACAACGACTTGCAAATCCTCCCAACCATTCGCCTCAGAATTGTTACCTTGTTCCATCTTCTTCCCGTTACGACGCAAGAAAATAATCTTCAGGTAGGACACGGTTCGATTAATTAATTGCGAGAATGGAATTAATTAAATCGCCAGAAATGCAGTCAAGTCAGGTCCAGGCTCCAGCGGTGAAAGAGGGGCAGAGTGAGACTCATCTGTTCTCGCTTATCTGCAGCGTTCTTTGCATAGATTTGTATATATTGCATTATGTAATTTACTGTAAATTATTTAAATAGCATAAGTAAGTATCGAATTGAAATGGTCGAAATTATGCGTATGCTTATTCTAAAATTAATTTCTTCAAGGTTTTGCAGCACGTACCACGGTTAATTTTAAAATTATCATTATTTTTAGGAATGTACGCTTCCGCTACAACTGATTGGTATCGTGTAAGTCTTTGACTTATCCGTAATGCTGAGGAAGAAGTGTAAAAATTTACATTTACATATTTCATATGCGACTGGATTAGACTATCTCACATTGCCTATTTTTGCATGCAGTAAATTAATTACATATGGTGTTATTGTATTTTCGGTGAGTAATTGATTCAAGGAATTAAGCATGAATTTGATTTCCAGCACTTTCAAAATTTGTTGGATAATCTAGTCACATAATTTCATAATTTATTCGTCTATACATAAATCGGTATAATATTAATCTTCCATAAATGGAAATTCTAAGGTTTTCAGGAAGACCGGGATATTACTTGATCATATAATATTTACATAGGCTTAAATAATTAAACAAAATATTTTGGTTACAAGAATAAGCTCGAACAACCAGATTTATAAAAATTAATCCAAAATCAAAATTATCCTACTTTTCCAAGGTATGAATTCGACTACAATGATTTACTAATTCCTCAAAAGCGACGAATTTCTCTCCACAGAAGTAACATTCCTGGTTCGCCTCGGCGTGTCGTCTTCCGTCTTCAGAACTGGTGTTCGAATGACTCTCCCCCACGTGACTTTTCAAATCCCAGGACGTGCTGAATTTTTTCTGCTTTTCATGACTAGCCTGGATATGGTTTTGTAAATCAAGTCCACTGAGGAAAGTCCTGGGACAAAGGGAGCATTTGAAAATGTCTCGGTTAGATTCGTCCAAGTGCGTCATCTAAAAAAGGACATATGCATTGTTAATATTTTCCTATATGTTTTCCCGTCGAATATTTATTATTCACCTCGTGTCGCTTCAAGCTATGCTTTTGAGCAAATTCCTTCCCACAAGTGGTACACTTGTACGGCTTCTCGGTCGTGTGGACGAAAATGTGACTCTCCAGAGCACTCTTCATCTTAAATTCTTTTCCGCAAAGGGTGCACAGGAGTCGAACCGGGTTCTGGACATGTTCAATTTTTACATGTCGCGAAACACTACCTTTGCTTAGGTAGATTTTCTCACAGTGGGGAAATCTGCATGGGAAATGGGACCGTTTCTTCTTGCTGTGGACGGTTTTAAAGTGCGCACGTAACTTGGAAGCGCTGAAAAATACTCGGCGACAAATATCACAACTGGGTCGTTTTCCTCGATTAGTGTGAACACTTCTCATGTGAACACCCAAGGCAAATCGGTGGTTCAAAATTTTTCCGCAAATCTAACAAGACACGGGAGATTGTGAAAATTGTAAAATTCATTTCAATTTAAAGGCTCACCTCACATTTCACCTTCGCGTCGGAGTCGTGCGTGACAACGTGCCGGTTAAGGTACTTCTGAAGTTTGAACGTTTTTGAGCATTTGGTACATTCAAATTTCTTCCCTCGTTTACGATCCATCTGGATTTGTTCTTATTTAAAATTTAGGGAGCCTCATTAAAAAATGCTTTTGTATAGTTTAATTACGTTCTTGGAAGAGAGAGTATCCGCCGACTTTGCTCCGGAATCTGCATATCGCAATTTTGTTAAATTTGTACCACTATTACCTAACCAATTGTTATTTTATTTAAAAAATGAATTACTCAAGTTTGTTTCGCTGTTACGAGGGTTCGATTTATCAGGTTGGCCAATAATTCGAACGTCGTCTTCATCCGCACTGTAAAATTCGTCGCCTTCGTCTGCACTGTAAAATTCGTCGCCTTCATCTGCACTATAAAATTGGTCGTCGTCCTCGCCTTTTGGTGAAGGGCACATTTTTTCATTTACCCTGACTCTACCATCAACCGGGCCTTGGTCACCGTCGTTGTTAGTCGAGGCGTTCCTTGACTTGTTAGAAATTGTAGTTTGAAGACCGACGGTCGAGAAGTTCGTAAGTGGAAAGGACAAAATGTTATCAAGCAAATTCAGCAGTTTTGTAACATCACGACATATTCCAACTGTATGTAAATGAATTTATCAAAGAATTAAAATAAACCACGGCCTGATCTCAGGATTAATTTAATTAGTCAATTAAATTACCAAGTTTTTCCTGTTCTGCCATGTTTCCTATCCGCCGAGCAACTTTGCAAATTCTTTGCCGACTCCGAGATACAAATTGTTTCAGGAATTCGACCTCTGCTGACAGTTCGGCCGCCTCCATGTCGTCGCCCCGTAATTTGCTGTGGACAGACTGCGATATTTTAATTATAGCTGCCCAATTTCCAAATAAATTATAATTTAAGAATAATTACCTGCGAAAAAGCTTCTCAAATTGAAACTCGTACTTGGGTGAATTTCGGTATAATAAATAATTTGTAATTTGTAATTGGTGACTTTGTTCGATGATCTATAAACAAAACAATCAAACTTAAATTTAAAATCCTGGAAATAATTTTGGTACGTGCATAGAGGAATTAATAGTATAGATTATTCAATAAAATTTAAAATAATTACCAGCAAATGAAGAAATATGAAATAGATTTCGATCTATTAAATCAATTTTATTTCTTTGTGTTGTGTGTCGTGAAAATTCAGCTCTGCCGGTGTTAAAGGGGCAGAGTCAGACTCATTCTCATTTACACGGGCGTTCTTAAAATCTCATGCAAATAAAATGAAAAGGGACCTTATTCATACTTTGTTCATTTTCCACAAGCGGCAAAATACCAAAACATGACTCTTTCAGCGAAACACATTTCGTCAAAAACCTGAATTGGCAAAATAAACATTAATGTTAAGCATTCCACCTCAAATTTAAAACTTAAGGTTGTACAGGTTTGCTTTGCCTAATAAAATAATGAAATTTGCGCCTTGACCTTTTTGAGGACCTTAACGTGACCTAGACACTTAACCTGGGGCGATAAACCTCAAATTTAAAACGTAAGGTCATTCAGGCTTGTATTGGCCTATGCAAATCTATTATTAGCGCCATATGAGCTACAATACTAAATTTTAAAACAGTGTTCTAAATTTAATCAATATAAAAATTTTCGCCAAAAGGTCGTTTTGCCATATTGTCGATGCAGCACTTTGAATTTAAATAACTTTACTTGTAGTTAACAGATTGAGCTAAAATAAATGGCAAATTAAAGCCTGAGGAAAGAACTTTCATAATAAATTAAAGTCGCTAAAGTAGATATTTGGTGAATAAGGTCCCTTTTCATGGAGACAGTCACAAATATGCCTTGCATTTTTTTCTACTGATAAATAATAAATATGTGAATATGTGAATATGTAATAATTTTTCCAGGCTCCAAATCCACAAATAATAATGCCCAAGCCCACATCGAAGTGATAAGAACGTCAGTTAAAGAAAAGCATCTAAATATGTATGTAGCTACATATAACTTAAAAAGTTGTATAACTTAAAGTACAAAGTTGCATAAAGTACTAAAGTTGTATAACTTAAAAAGTTGTATTCACTGAATTTCACTGCCCGTCGAGAATTTTACGTGATTCTCTCACTATAAAGTGCATACCTATATTTATAATGAATAAACTTTATGTATTTTACTAACAAGACAATTTTCCATCAAGTTAGCCACATTTTTTATTAGGTTTTTAAATTTAATACAAGATTTCTCGCTTGAATTACAAATTTACAAAAATTCTCCCCTTCGTTGAAACAATTTCAATTAAAATATTGATTTTTCTTTGATTGTATAATCTTATCCGGAAGCAACAATTTGTCATGAATTAATTTAAACTTAATTAAACAATAATGTAGTAAATGTTTATGCAGGTATATTAATTAACAAGAGATCCTCTTTGGCTTCCAACCGTGCACGACGTGTCTCTCTCTCGCTCTGCAACTGGATTCTCTCTCTTCCATCTGGGTCGCGGGTGTGCCAGGGGAAGTGAAGTGTGTCCCAGGCTTTTCGCCCTGTGAGCCTCGTCCACTCACACCCCCCAACTGCGTGCCTGGTGACACCCCCTGCCACACCCGTCCCAGCAACGACAAGCCGAGCCATCAGGCGAAGATGGATTCGCCGGACCAAGTGCACGGGAGGATCTACGCCATGGAGGACTCCCCCCAGGTAGGTCATTGTTTGGTATATCGGGGTGGTGACCGTGGGGGCGGTTGGTAGAAGAGTGGGGACGGGGTCGTGCATGGCGGTGGGCAGTGTAGTCGGGCCTACGGGGGTCCCATGGCCCGGTTGTGCTGTGAGGGGTGAAGGGGCAAGTGGGTAGTGTCGCTCGGCCCTGGTCACACTGTGTGACCGTGAAGGGGACACGTAGCCCGTGCCCGGGAGGGCGCTAAGGTATTTCGTGGTCCGTGGACGCCCCGCCCAACAACCTTCACTCACCTTGCTTCCGCCGTCACGACGCCGTCCTCATTTGGATATCAGCAGTTCCTCGCGGAATCTGCCTATGATCCCTATCACTCATTTGTCCTGCCTGGGTGATGTAGTCAGAGCCGAATGGACCTCTGGGCCACATTCCCAGAGGTGATAGTGGTTTTCCTGGCTCTACACCATAGCCAGGTTTTCCCACTATTCCTCTGACTACTTTACTTTATTTACATTTACATATCTAGCTCTGTAATTTCTATTGATGAGGGCTCATGGCCATATCAAATGCTAATAAATTGAATATTGAATTGAATATTAATTAACAATGGTATTATAAGTTTAGTTTATTCGCATGTAAATAAGTGCTAATGAACTTTATGCAAATATATATTAGTACTTCTGTCAACTGTTATAGTACTGTTCATTAAAAATTAATATGTAGTAAAACCCTCAGAATTTTTTCAAAAGGGTAATGACCTATCTTACCGTTTACAACGCTTTAGCTTAGGATTAGCATATGTATTTTTTCTCAACATATTACTAAATTTATTAGTGATGGAAACCAATCATCCGCCAAATAACCTTTCATATTTTTTCTTCTATTTTTTATACATCTTGATTTCGAATGAACAGTAAAAATTTTAGTTTTGAACAATAAAGAGCTTCATCCTTATTTATTTCTACTCGGGCTGAATAACCCTCCAAGTCGAGATGGGTTTCCTCTGCAGCTTCATAATCGTCCTCCTCCCCCAAACGAACAACCATAAAAGGCCAAGGACCGAACAGACCACACTTTCGACGTAATAACCATCTACAAGACTACATTTCCCCGCCTTTCCCTTCCCGCCTGCCCCACCCATCGTAGCATTTCTCACTTCACCCCCATCATCTAAAATACCAGCGGCCCCTACTTCCGTCACGTTCGCCATCCCCATCAGCACATCGTTACGAACATCGCGACACTTGCCAATCCCGACGTAATCCACCAACGCCAACGCCACGGTCGCCGGCCACATTCCTCCCACGTTCGTAATCGTATTGATCAGCGTCATATAAGTCCCGCCAATTTCAGGATCCGATATTTTCGCCGAGAATCCCATCCCCGTCACGAATCTGGTATATCCCGGGACCAACTCGGCCACCGTGGCGGTAAAAAGAATGGCGTAAAACCAAAATGGATACTCCGTCCCGGGCCCGCCCAACCAACCCGCCCAGTAAACGAGGAGGGGCCAAATGAGACCGAACAGAATGGAGAATGGGATCGTGTTGATGTAAACCTTCATGGGATTCGGGCCTACCGTCCATTTCGCGGTGAGGATGGGGAGCGCGAGTTTTAGCGGGATTAGGAAAATTGAAAAGAGGGCCAAAGTCTCTTTCGGGATTCCTTTTTCGACCAGTTTGAGCCGTGCGAGGGCGTCCGACGCTCCAGTTCCGATGCGGACTGTGAGTAAGAAGAGGGCCAGGATTTGGACGTTGCGGAGTTTTAGGATTCTCCATAAATTTCGGTAACTTTCAAAAATGTCCATGTGACCCTCGGTGACTTGGAGGGATTCTTTCTTCTCTTTCTTGAATAAGAGGATGAGTGTGGTAGTTACGGCGAAGATGATCGCCCAGAAGACGAGGAACTGTGCGGACGTAAAAAATAATGCATACATATATTTTACAAGTCAGATAAATAACGCGACAATTTACACGGATGTTAGTAACATTGTAACACATTAAACTTTGTAGCATAATACAAACGCTTTTAGGAAATTAGTTTACAAGGAAATATTTAAGGGAACATGAAAATCTAATTTGGATCTCTTGGATTTAGCTTATCACAAAAATTGTCATATTTTCAAAATTTTCAATACGTCTTACTAAAAACTCGTGTGATTCTCGCTCACAAATTTACACAATATTTAAAAAGGAATCTTTTTATTTTATTTTTATTTTATTTTTAAGCAATTTTTTTCCAAATTTACGAAGACGTGAAATGAGACATTGCCGTTATTGCCGTTACCCATACTCCAGTTCGCGTCACTACATTTTTTGGAAAAACAAGGGCTGCATAATTTTACAAAATTTTCATTCAGGTGAATTGTAACAGGAAATAATTTGTTGCATACTTTCAAAAAACTTGGCACACAACAATCTCACCGTTGCCTTAAAAATTTCGTAAATCTGCGCAAGAAATCATAAACCCTCACCTGTGGCAGCGTCACTAATCCATCCTCTCCAGGTATGTCTCGGAATTTATTCGCAAAAGAGGCAGAATTCAGTGCTAAAAATCCAGAAAATCCCAGCACAAAGCCTAACGTTTGTCCCACGGCGTTGCAGGTGGAGGCGTACCCCACATTTTCAGGCGCCATCATTGTCAAGGCCCACCCATCCACGGCCACGTCCTGACTCGCGGCGAGGAAGTTGAGACAGAAAAACATGATCGTGAGGCTGGTCACGTCCTTCGCTTCGAATAAGTCATCAACTTTGGCGGCAATTACGAAGAAAAATAGCGCAATTAGGTATTGCAGGGGGATAATCCAACTCTTACGGCGACCCAGTCTAGCAATTGAGAAATTATTAATTTAAAAAATTTTAAGATTTAACGACTTGATTGGAAATGAATAAGAAAACTATTCATTCAAGCATTCATGCAAGCAATTTTTCTAGAATTTAAAAATATCGTAACCATTTACTAATTTAATCTTAGAGAAAAAAATAATCTTTTTAGTAAGCACGATTTTTTATGGATTTTTTTGGAAATTATAAACAGCTCAAATCTTCAAAAAATCGGGATATTAAATATTAGGCGTGTTCACGTCAGCATTGGTATAGATAAAAAATACTAATCAATTTACATATCATATCATAATATTATACTAATCAATTTACACGTATGTATGTCTATGTATGTAGCCTGCTAAATTTTTGCAAAATTTTTGAAAACTAGTAACGTAAAGGATTTGATTTTTGTGCAAAATTTATGTACACAGAAAAGAGTCACATTCTTAATTCACGAGATAATTTGCTAAATAAATGCATAATGATGCGAAATACTTAGTTGACTTGACGTGAATATGCCCAATGTACACTTTTAGAAATCCAGTAGGTATTAAAACAGTACCAAGCGGTCTTAATATATGACTAACAAAGCGGTATTATAAGCAACAACGTGTGGCAATAGTTCGGTATAGCGTTTTTATCATATCTGTAGCAATTTTTACTGTACCACGTGGTGACAACTTTAATACCAAGAAAACAATACCTGCCTGACTATACCAGATTTCAACCAGTGTATAATTTTCTACATGTGTACACCACCAACCAAATTAACGCCGCCCCCCCCCCCCATTTTACTCACCTTTGCCAATACACTGCATCCACAATAGGGGCATACAACACCTTGAGTCCGAATGGCCAATACGCCAAGCTAAACCTGGCCTGATCCGTGTAAGGGACGTTCTTACTCTGCAGAAGGAACGGAATCGTGACTATCAACCCGAGCGGAATTCCTTGCAAAATGTAGAGCAGCAACAGCAACAAAATGGATCTGATATCTTTCCGAAAATTCGGTTTCTTTGGCGAAATCACGGGAACAATGACGGGATTCTTTGTCAGCTCGACGGACGCTTCATCCACAGATTTTTCCATTTCAAAATTAATTTAAAAAATACTTAAAAAAACAAAATTTCTGGAAATTTCTCTTTAATTTATTTGAACCTCGTGACCATGTGAGTAGTAGGTTTACACTGACTCCGTTCTCCGTTATCTTGTCATGTCCAGTGGCATTTTTGTTGTTTAAAGTGTTGAGCATGATATGTACTTATCAGTTCATCAGCCCATTTACATAAGAAGTAAATATCAGCAGAACAAAGGTTTGTGTGTCCAGTCCATATATCAAAAAAATAAGCTTCGTAAGCCAGATAAGTGGACAGGAGAACAATGACTTTATGGTATATATTTATGTATATGACATAAGTATTTATTGTGCTGGCATTAATCTATGTATGTGTCTTCGAATTAATGAATGAGGCTGGTTTAATATTTAAACAAACCGAGTAAACAGAAAAATGTGAAGTAAATATGACACGAGACGAGTTATTTTATCAGAGAAGTAAATTGTTTTGTAACTACAATATAATTCTCAACAACAAACTCAGGTTGTTTTCCAACGTCTTGAAACATGTGTCATTTATTATCCACATGTTACATGTGTTATGTACAATTATAAATTTATGTATTTAATCACACCATTTACGCTGCAAGAAATTTGGTAGAGTCACACATAATACGCCGTACTGTTATTGTTTTGGTAACACACCGTGGCCAAGGAAATGTATGGGTGTGGATTAGGGTGGGAGTGGGGATGGAATTATAAATGCCGCATTGCAAATAAATTAACTACAAGAAGTACAGGATTTATTACCGCATTTCCTTTCCACTAGTTTCCAATTAAGCAGCTTCGTACAAAATACGAACAAATTAAACTCCCACCTACCATCATTAATTAAATCTATGAATTAAGAGATAAATACATGACATATTTGACAAATTTTTACATATGCAAATATGTCCGGATAAGATTATAGGATTATAGAAAAAACAATACTTTAATTGATATTATTTCAGCGAAAGGGAAGCACTATTCAAAATCTGTATATACATAATTCTAGCGAAAAACTTTGTATCAAATTTAAACGTAACAATAAATGGGACGACTAACTTTTCTGAAAATTGTCATGTCAATATAATAAATATATCAATGACTTCCATATATTACGTCATCAAACCGTGGGTGAGTGGTTTTTAGTCAACCATCTTAATACTCGTGTTGAGCTTAACAGGAATAGGATAGGGAAAGTGTGGTTGGGTGATTAATGTAAAAATCAGGGGTTTTTTAATAACGTAATCTATGGATATTTCATATGCACGAATTGTGTCCGTATTTTAAAATATACTGGTACTTAGGATTAATAAGAAGATAGTAAATATGCCATTCCGGGGTCCATTCAAAAGCGAATGCACCATGTTAATTATGGCCCCGGTTTATGAACTGCATAGATACCCATCTGAGTTCTGGCAAATATTAGTGACAGCTTATTTAAGAACTAAACCACCCACCCAGTAAAATGATGACGTAATATATGGACGTCCCCTCATTTATTCTACTGAAAATGTTATCTTTATTGTGACATTAAAATATTACAAATACATATTAATCAATATTATTTAGATAAATAACTATTTTTTCTTTCCCTGTCCATCCAATAGTTTCATACCGCGGTCCAAACTGGCTTTGGCCTCTTTTAAAGTTTTCTCCTGGTCTTCTAGTCTTTTCACCATTTCTTTTACCTGGAATTCCTCACCGTCACATCCTCTAAATGCCAAGCACATCGAAGCTAGGGTGACGGCACCTTGGCCAGCAGCCAATCCCAAGAGGGCAGTCCTATTCATTCCTGGTCTTGCATTCCAACCATCGATCGCGTGTTGCGCACCGTTGATCCCGTTAAAAAGCGCGTTTGCTTGCGTCTTTTCCTTAAAGTCTTTCAAGCATACGAGGGTCCTGTTCACTTCGAATTTGGTATCCTCTATACAAAATCAATAAGATAAAAGGATTTTATATGCATCTGAAACAGGTTTTAGGAAACCGCGTGGTTTTTCTAGAAAACCCCAACCCAGAGGGTTTTTGTAGTTTTTGTAGATTTTGGGACAGCATGAAATAAACCAGTGTGTGCAAAAAGGCAGCCTTTTTGCTTTTTCTGCATGCCTTTTTGCCGTTTTGCCTTTTTCAATGCCCTTTTGCCTTTTTGCGTGCCTTTTTGCCCTTTTGATGCCTTTTTGCCTGTTTGATGCCTTTTTGCTCGATTTTTGACGATTGAACCCGATTTATTGTCGTTTATAACGTAAAATTTTACAAATTTTTTCCAACTCAAGTTACCTTCTTTCCGATGAGATAAATAAACTAAGGGGTCAAGAAAATGACAATGCAAATTTTCACAATATTCCCAAGAATTCGTCACCTCACGGAATAAATCGCACTTTGTCTAATTCAGAGCAGAATATTAACTTTGAGACGTACGTTGGTAAAACGATAGAAAAACATGGCATGCTAGGCTCACTTTCTTTATTGTTGCGACACCCCCAAAATTTGGAGAAAGTTAGGAACGAAATTCTAGAAAAAAATGTAGAAACTGAGACCCATTTTACCTCACTTTTTCCCCACGCCAGTAAAACATTAGACACCAAAAATCTACTTAAGGATGACACCGACGAATTGATCCGTATTCTCAAACAAGATACAACATTTAGCCAACATCTCGAAACCGCACTGAATTACGTAAACCTCTATCTCAACATGTTTCTTCACCTTCCGGTCGACACGATACGAAAAGTCCTCCCCCACCATGACATCGATATGACCTACATTTCCCAAAAGTTTATCCTCATTAAACTCATGCAGGAAAGAATATGCCAAACTAACCCCCAAAATGATAACCTCGGATTAAATGTGCCCCTCCAAAAATTGATAACGCGATCAAATATTGATATTTTTGCCAGTCTACTACCCAAACTTGGGATGAATGATGACACAAATATTTTATCCGAGACCGTCACCTTCATACAAGATTACGGTGACCTTAATGATATCTCAGTATCAAAATTTCCCGACGGTATTGGACTTTCCAATCTGTTCCAAGCATTAAAAGAAAAGCTTATCGAAGAAAATACCGCTTGATTATTGAAAGATAAGGTTGTCGGCGACACCGGCAGCGTGAAAAAGTTGGTTTCCAAGCTGTCAAAAACACGCGAGATTAACATAGTTATGAAAATCCTACAAATTCTCACCCTTGCCGAAGCCATCAATACAATTACCCAGATGTTAAGGGTATTCATTGACCACTCAAAATTCCTTGACGAAGATTTCATAACCTGTATTTCATTAGGTTTATCCTCAATTCCCAAAATACCAGAATCAAAATTAGTCTCAAGTCTTAACCGATTGGTCACGAAGCACGCCTTTTCCCGCATTGGGGGCGGTGTTAAAGGGATTGACTCATATTTATCCGAACTGCGCAAAAATTTGGCAAACTCAAAATTCAAAACGGACATCAACACCCTTCGCCACGTGGTCGATACCGTAACCAATGGCAACTTATCTTCCCAACTGCTTAATTCTGAGAATACATGGCCCATTAATTCCTACACAAAGGCCGACATTGCTACCTGGTCAACCCAAATACAGCAGCTTTTCCGTAAAAATCCGGATTTAGCTTCCTCCCCTCAATCAGTCCTGGAATGTCTCGCCGTATCAAAACGGGCATATTTCCTCTTTTCTAACGGTCATCATTTAAACTTCACCCAAATTACGGCACTCTACCTCGGCCTCACTAAACCTCGCGGGGAAGGCGTCCTCTTCCAAATATCTACGGGATCCGGAAAATCCATCATTGCCGCCATCTTCGCCCTAGTTATTTCCCTGAGAGCAAAATCCGTTGATATTTTCACTTCCGGATATCCCCTAGCGATCCGAGATGCCAACAAATTTACGAAATTTTACTCACTCTTTCGTGCAGCCATAATTCCGACACCCGAACTTATACGAAAGGCCAGAAACAATGCTACACCAAGGCGATCGTGTACGGAGAACCGGCCCAATTCGCGTTCGACATTTTGCGTCATATTTTCTGCGACCTGTCCACCATGGGGAATAGACGGCAAGAATTCGTCATAATTGACGAAGCTGACACGGCAATGGTGGACGATGTCTTTAAACTGGCACGATTATCGATGCAAGTTCCCGGGTTTGACTTGCTTCATATCATATTTCAAGTTTTGTTCGACCGAGCGAAGAAAATTAGGGGGAGACTCGTCCAACGTAACGGGTCTTACTATTATGTTGATCACGACCTAGTGAGGAATAAGGCGGGTGAAATTTGTTTCGCAAGGTTGGGGCAAGATGGGATTCCTAAATTAATTCCTCTCCATTCCTGCAAGGATTCATACTTCGCGGACTTCAAACTCCTCACGGAAGACCCAAACGCGTTTGTGGAAACCCACCTCAAATCATTTCTCACCGCGACTTTCTCCCCCGAAATAATCGAGGGATTTGAAGACATTGAAAAAATCCGGATTCCCCTCCACCTGCAAAAATATGTTACCCTCCAAATACCAAAATGGGTGGAGAGTGTCTCAGTTGCGGAAAACTATATGGAGAAAGTCCACTATTTGGTGCATAATGGTCAAATCAAACCCATTGATTACTGGAGTACTGGAATAATACAGGACTCAACCGCCTGGAATAATGGGTTGCATCAATTACTTCAGAGAAAGCATGGCCTCCACTTAACCGCAGAGCCGCTCACTACCAACTTCTTGTCAAACTTGTCACTAATTAGGAGATATTGGAACAATGATGAGCGTAACATTATCGGATTTAGCGGGACTTTAGGGACGCGTCATACAAGAGAAATTTTGGGGGAAATTTTCAACACGGTTTGCATAGATCTGCCGGAAATCCACTACAAGAAATTTATCCTATACGACGACATAATAACGACCTCAAGGGAAAGGTGGGCTTCGGAAATTATTTTTACACTTCACGCCCAAATTCACCGAGGGAAAGGAACCCTCATAATATGCGGCACCATGAGGGACGCCCTTTTCCTCCGTGACAGAATACTGGCCTCCAAACTACCTCATAACGGGGTTAAATTGTACATTCAAAACGACGAGGATCAAGAAAAGCAGATATCGCACATTTCCCAGCGACAGATCTTTAACGCGACTAACTTGGCTTGTCGTGGGACAGATATTGTGGTGCATGTTGGGATGGAGGAGGATGGCGGACTCCACGTAATTCTTGCTTATCTGCCCGATAGTGACCGCGTTGAGCAGCAGGCATTTGGGCGTACCGCCCGACAAGGGAATAGTGGTTCGGGGCAGTTGATTTGCCACGTAATTAATAAATCTTCACGTAATCTTCGTCAATCACGAGATGAACTTGAGCTCTCAAACATGCAAGACTCTGTAAACAATTACTTCTCCAACTTGGCCAATAAGGAGGAATGCTTCATCAAATTTTGCAATTTTCTAGAAAAAGTTAGACGACAATTTTGCAAAGAGAAAAATTTCGTGACAAAAATATTTTCCAACAAGTATTCGCACGAAGATCTCACAATAATTCAGGCACTGGAAGAACGCTGGGGTAGATTTTTGTTGGAAGTGGATACCTTAAAGAAGGAAGTTGTGAAGGAAAAATACCAGCAAATTTGAGGACAAGTTATCTTCAGAGTTTAATTTTAACTCATCCATCCACACGGGAGTGATAAGTAATCCGTTTACGCATTTAATCATCGCGACCGATGTGATGCAGAACAGTACAAGATTATCTGATTATTACAATAAGGTGCAACTACATTTGGACCATGCGATACAAATGGACCCTGATGTGGTCACAGGTGCCCATCTTCTCAGTGGGGATCTCCTCCTCGTCGGAAAGCTTGGCGTGGTTCTAGGCGACAAGTGGGACGCAAATTATAAGACAAAGGCGATATCAAAATATAGAAAATGCCTGGAACTCATCCAGTCTGAAGTGGACATTCTCCAGTTATCAATTGGACTCTTGAGTTACGACACAACCGTGGAACATGGCTACTTAAAACAGCAAATTTTAGACAGACTGCATATCCTTGAATCGATTCAAACCCATGTGTACGGCACGATCCAGACCGTCACAAAATCTCTGCGCCCCATTGACATCAAATATATTAACCAAACCTCAGGAAAAGAAGTATTTCTCAAGTATTTGTGCGACTCAGAGAAATTTTCGTTTTCAGATAACGTGAATGAATCCAGTTACAAAAATCTAAACACGCTCGTGGGCAAGTCTAAGTCAGTCTTCACCACGAAGGCAGATCATATGTTCGCTGAAATTACTAATTTTTTTCAACTTCCGAAATCGGAAGTCGATGTTTTATTGCCTAAAAGAAAAACATTTTTGTCAACTTCTCAAAAACTTTCATCCAAATCGTCATCAAATTCTGACTTCTTCACGCTTACATTTAATGGCTTAACAGCTCATAAAGATTGCGGTGAAAGGGACCAATGCCTACAAACGATGGAAGCCCTGAAGGATGAGAATTTTCATAATATTCCCACTTTAATGTGTAAGGATCTTGACTGGAAGCAATTAGTTAAGATCCTTTCCAAGAACGAGGCCAAGACAGGAGTCACACAATCGGAGTTAATAACAACTTTAACAAATTTGACAAAAAATCATCCTGTACGGAAAAAGATAATCGCCATATGTAAATCTGGTCAAGATGAAGACGTTGAAAAAATGGATTCTAACGAGTTCATTACTTGCAATGAAGCTACAGAATTTGCATCCACCTGTGATCCAGACACCACTTTTAATATCATAATTAAAAACAGAAATATAACCAACTTTAATATTTTCACCCCAATTGATATGGACATTCAACTTGATCACGTGGATTCCCCAATAATTCCCCAAATATTGGAATCCTTCCGGCCGACTTTATTTGCCAGTGCTACCATCATATTAACTGGGTCAGACTTATCCCTGGTAGAAAACCAATTTATCAAATTTCCGCGACACTTCAGTCAACAAACTGCAGGCGAGATTCCTACTTGGTTTGCTAATCCGGGAGAACAAAGTACACAAAATTATGACGAAATGCGCATCATAATCCCATCTGAAGCCGTTTACAACACTGTCCTAAACCAAATCCCCCCGGGGATAACAGTATCCATAAAATTCAGTCATCTCCAGTCCAACTTTTTACCCATTTCGACACACTCTTCCCCAGTCTCGCCCTACACAAAAACCCACATATCTCTCAACCAAGTTACTAAATCCAAATTAAAACAAATCCTCCCCATCCTTCGAAATCTAGACGTCTCACTGGCTCTCACGTTTCAAAATTTATCTCTCCACGAAGCACAATATGTCATCGCATCTGCCCAAATAAGACAGGAAAACATGCAGCAAAATAAGCTTCAGACCATCGAAAATCTCTTCACCCACGCAAAACTTCCCCTCGAAACGGTACACGACTATCGCAACAGGGGAATATATTTGCTGCACACTTTCACCGAGAAGAAATTCATCCCTTGGCGCAGCATTTTTGCCGTGTGTGGAATCGCAACTGCACAAATGTTACTTGGCGCTGTATTAATTTACACCGGCTTCGGGGCGACCGTCGGGATGGGACTGATTACCGAGGGGATAGCCGACTTTATCACGGCGTATCGAACCTACCGCTCCAGGGAGTTTACCTGGTCGCAGTATAGATCACAGAAGGTTATCAGCATCGCCATTTCCGTCGTATCGGGGGGATTATCCTACCTGAAAAATGCTGCCAAGGGGGCTACAATCGTTGAAAGTGCTGCCACCGAAGTAGCTGAACAAATCGCGACATCTGGAGTGTCAAAGGTAACAACGGCTAAAGTAGGAGTTGGCGCAACCCAAATTTTCCAAGATATTGGCCGCGTCGCTGTGCACGAAATGGGGCGTGAAGGGCTACACATGACAGTAAATGCAGGTTCCGACCTTGCCCTGCGAGCCCTTGAGGGCACCATACGGGAAAAACTTGAGCGCACGATGACCCAACAAATCCAAGATAACAGCCCTTTGCTTAGAATGTTGGCGTATTACCATGCATTGGATTGCATCACGGGACAAAATATACTGGAAAAATATATTCGCAATATTTTGGACGTATTAATGTCTCCCAGCAATAACGAAATGGATCAAGTTTACGCAAATTTGAGCAACTCTTTCCTCTCTAGTATGCCCCAAGGGGGGAAAATATTGGACCTCTACAGACTAAAAACCATCGCCAGTGGTAGCTTGGAACTGGTGAAAATAGTGCCTCAGCTCTGTCACGAAATGCAAAATTTCCTCGAGCCTAGTGTCAACCGGACGTGGTCAATTCAATTCACTTGGTTGTGTCGCAAGTGGAAATTATCGTGCAATGAAGAAGTCTTGGTAGGAAAATGTATCGACAAAAAATTACAATTTGGAATTATTCAACCCACACTGGATGAGAAACTGCTGCAGGAGGAAATGCCAAGTCACGCAGAAATTATTAAACGCGATTTGCAAAAATTTCAAGAAGAAGTGAACTCATTTGATTTGGTTAAAATTGATAAATATATCGCCCTCATGGCTGACTCCTTGACGGAGAAAGTTTGTCAGGTTGTGCACAAACAAATCGTGACTCCAATGGCTGATTATGCGTCTACGAAAGTATTAAAATCAATGTCAGACATAATCGGGCATAAATTTCAAAGTGACGCTAAAGATTTGAATGTTAATGAAATAGTGGAAACATCAAAAAATATTGTTGATGGGGTTAACAGACTTCGCGAAATTGAAGAGGAAATAAGACAGGATGAAGGGGAGCATAGTGATGATAATGATAAGCAGAAGGAGGATGTATAAATGATAAAATACTTTCCTTACATATAATCACGAACGAAGATTTGTTTGTACGTACGACATATTTATGTACGTATGTACTGAATTTGTTCCTGCTTCGTAGTTGGTAGTTGGTACTAATATTCTCAAATAATTTCCAATATATATACTCTTGTCAATTTGTTTTAGATTGTAGTAGTAAATAACGAGTAAGGCTGCTGCTTTTTAATGTATCTAATTAGTGAACAAACTGAAGAAATTTTGTATTTATATAAGTAAGTAGTTAAAATATTATTTTATATCTATGATTGTAACTTAATGGGCGTAATGCCCGAAAAAGTTCTAATAAACTCAAATACATACATGTAAGTAATACTTATCTACTAATCCTAAGTATTCTTAGTTAGTGTGAAGTATTTTTTATAAGTGGATATGTTTGTATTTTATTTAAAGAAAGTAGTTTATACAATAGTTATGTGAATATTCGATGGCGCCTAGCATATATGTACATACATAATGTATAAAAAGTCAATAGATAAGCACATGTGCACAGTTTCATTCAGAGTATTTTAGCTGCCGGTTTTCTGCAGGAAGTTTTGTATTATGTAAATATTGTCGACAATCATTCCTTCTACAACCTTATGTATATATTTAACATAATGTATATACACTCTTAGTAATCCGGTACTAAAATAATATGTAGCGGTTGTCATACATGTCTCTACCAAAGTGGTATTGATATGTGATACTGCCAAGTAATATGCCGGGATTAAATTTTCGCCATATCCGACGGTAATAAATTTTACAGACAGGAAAAGAATAATTTTTACGGACCGGTATAATTTAATACATACTAAGCTGGAGCAACTTTAATATCAATCCTGCCTGACTATGCCAGATTTCTAATAGTGTGTGTATCTACATAGTCTCAGGATTCAACAATATGACCCAATGGATCAGCCAAATTTGTAAATATGTATGTTTTCCATCGTGAAGGCTTCTAAAAATGAATACCGTTCTTGACTCCGCATCAGTTATTTACACAACATGTGAGGCACCGATATTCATCACTATCAATTCAATGGGGGTATTCATTCCGAGCTTGCATCATTAGCAACGTTCCATAAACCAAAGTTCCCCAAAAAAATTTGGGTTAAAAATTCGTTTCCGAACTTGTGCATCTCCAAGGCAAGAATTGAGTTTGAAAAATATTTTTCAAAAATATGTTGCGACACAAACTCGTGATGAATACCATTAATGTAATAAGTCTCAACATATTTACTAATGATATTGTCGCATTGCAATTCTCAAGGTTGTGGAGAAATGAAAAGTTCCTGCCGCAATTTCCTAATCTCAGCTTGAGATTTAAATTTAAATATGTATGTGAGCAACCATAATACAAGTCAGATACTGAACAAGGATCGCGTTGAATGGATTAATACTTCGCACTAAACCGATACCAGGTAAAGTATTTAATCACGAATGTACTTACATCGTGCATAATGCATACATATGTATGTAAATGATTCGTATTAATGTTGCCAATTGCCAAAAAGGTTGAAGGTGTATGTAAATAAGCTGAAGACGAGTTAGCCTGAAATATAATTGAAAACGACACGTGAAAAGCTGAATCATGTTGCATTCTTTGATTCCACGATAAATTTGTGATATATGTACAGTAAAAACGTAACGTATGTACGTAATTGTACAAATTTAAAGTAAAGGGAAGTCCACACAAAATTCGTGCTTTTAGATCAAGCTGTAAATATATTGAATCTAAAAGTTACCAGTTGATTGCCTTTATTTAATTTCAATTTAGTGTAAATTTTACCATTTAATAAATATTTTAGTTAACTCATGGGGTCCAAAAAGGCTGCAAAATTCACTTTGATGTCAAGCTACATACATAATTTATTTTTTTAACTAATTTAATGCCATCTCAGCTGTTCTTTCCATAACTGATAGGAAACACTAGGATACGTACATACGTACAAATTATTACATTTCTCTGAACCTACCACCAAATTAATTCATGGTTCTCTACTTACTCGCAGATTTCGTGGAAGCAGAAATTCATTGTCATATTTTGGTACTACATAGAATATGTGTCAAGACGGTCTTAATTTGCACATTAAGAAATATCCACTCTGCAGGTGGATCTAAATATAGGTATGTATGTTGGTATGTCGATCTATTTTCCAAGTACGGAAACAAAAAAATGTGCTAACTTTTACTTTCTTGCGCAGGTGCATACGTCCAGGACACTGTGAAGCTCAGAAACCTATCATCGGAACCACAGAGAAGGTTTGAGAAGCAATAAAGTTAACTATTTTCATCAACCTAGCGCAAGTTTTGGGGGCAAACAATAAGCTAACAAAGTTCTTGTGGGCAGGAATCCGCGAGGTAAGTATGCACAATTTAGGAGAATAGGACAAATTCGGGTTGTATGTAAGTAATTATGAGAAGTGCAAATAATTAAATTATTCATTTCCAGGGTACCTCGATATTATGGATGGAGGGAGACACGCATCAATAATTGACATGTTTTTCATTCTTCTATTTACATAATATATTTACTTTTTATTTTGAACTATTTAGTAAGTAAGAGTTTATTTTATTTCGTAAGGTTAGGGTCTTGATTGTACGACCCTTGGGTGGTCAGTATTTTCACGATTTTTTGTATTTTAGATATCATTAAGGATAGACATAGTCTCCATTATTATGGAGACTATGTATGTAATAAAATAATTGATTTACTAATTACTAATGATTTTTTGGCGATTTTAGAGTTAATAATGTACTCGTCTTCCGTTATCTTGACCTATATTTTTCTGGCAACGAGAATAAATTTGGATAAGGTTACTCATTCGCTTTCACTCTCACTGCAAAATTGCAATTTGCAAATTTCAGACTAATTATATTTGTGATCGATTGACGCCAGTTTGGTCCAAATCTGTGAGCATACGGTGGGAGACCTCCATTGTTAGAGTGTAACTTCAACCTACGCATATCCCGCATATCTCGCAAATTGAGGAGAAGGATTAGGAATTTTGCCAGATTTCATAGTGAAAACGTAGTTACTTCGTATTTTTGCAAATCACTTGAAACTATATAAATGCGTAGTTTAAGATACATATGTACACACATACGTTGAGTTATCTAAATCGATGCTAAATTCGTTGACGAAATAGCTGCCTGATTTATGAGCATCTAATATAGATATGTATGTTCTTAATAAATACGAAACCAGACTCATTTACGGAATTTCTTTCAATGTCCTCAGCCGGGTAAAATATGTACTTCCATGTAGTGAGTGAATTTCCCGGAAAAGGAGAAAGTTCGGCTGCCCTGGACCAGAGGAAGCTCTTATTAGATATGAACATGCATGTCAAGCCTACACAATGTACATAAACACACACTGTTAAAAATCTGAGGTCAAAGTCAAAGTGGTATTGATTTCTCGGTATTAAAGAATCAAATTATACTGGTCCGCAAAAAGTGTCTACCGATTTGGTACAACTTTAATACCGAGCTATATGTATGCATATACTTGCATCCTCCTGCATACTGCATTTCATCTTCAGCTTAACAATACAGCCAACCATCTTAAGCTGAACTCTGAATACGATGTGTACATACACTTGTACAAGTGTATAAATTGCAGACTAAAATTCCCGGCACTGTTAGAACTCAAGTATTGTCACGTATGTATGTACATATGTAAGTATGTAAGTAAGGTATTGGTTTCCGGTATTAACGTTGCTACCGCTCGGTATTAAAATTATGCCTGTCGGGACAAATTTGCTACCGGTATGGTGAAACTTTAATACTGGTCTATTACTACACCGTATTACTTATCAATACTACTTTGATAGAGTCATTTACACTGTTAAGCATCTGGTAGTGTCACGTGGATATATTTTGGTAGTAACTTCCTACCGGATTATGGGGCGAGGATTAAAAAGAGAGTCCTGCACGCCATAAGTTTTGCATGTACATAAAAAAGGACTCCTTTTAATGATCGCACAATAGTAGTAGATAGTTTATTTTTTAGTGGTAAATTTTTCATTACCCAAACATTGCTAAACGATAATGTCAGTTATTACCAGGGTCGCTAGAGTCACATACATACATATGTATGTCCTCCTGTCTGTAATGATTTAACATTAATTTTCTAAGAAGGTATGAATGTCGCCTGGTATTGTTTTAATACTGGATTTCTAAGAGTGAATATGTCTGAGAAAGAAAGTGGGCAAGTAAACTTTCTCCTCTTGCAGTAAAATGTATTCTGAGGAATTTGCCGACTTTCTCCGCCTAGGAGACGATAAAAACTCGTCACCAGCTGGGAAAGTGAGTCGCAATGATTTCCGAGTCCTTTTCTGCTGGTAAGCAGTCCGGATTTATGTCAAGTAATTATCTAAACCACAGTCATACTTAAATCAACTTTGTTACTCTGATTACTAAATGGTTGAAGTGAGAAGTCGAACCATACATAACACTACATTGTCTCTTTCACTATTCAAGTAAGCACCGCAATATTTTCAGTGTTTGATTTCTTCCACCTTTTCGGCATTTCATGAATGCCTGACATTTCAAGAAATTGCAAGGATTGTAACGAGAAAGAAATAGCGACGCATCCTTTGAGCGATTATATTTAAGAAATTTTTAATAGTTAGGTATTTTTTAGTAAAATCTTTTGCAAATAATTTATTTAATTAATTTGTATCAAATAATGTTTATTTTTGCTAAAATTTCTAATTATGTATGTATGCAGATCCCGAAATGGGGGGAAAATCGAGTCACCCAAGAAATCAAAAGTGTGACGGAGCTCTGTTCATTTTAGGTAGGAGAGCTTCGACGAGTGGCTGTGGGGCTGCGGATTTTTTCTGTCCACGCTTTAATCACAGTGTTACCTGGAAGCATGAAGCCGACATTGTTAACAATGGTGGTGAAAAGGTTGGTCAAATTGTCATGAATTATTCAGCACTAAATTTCATGAGGATTTTTTGTAAGAATCTGTAAATAATTTTGCAGTACACGATTGGGTCTGCCAAAAATTTAGAAACTTTGGATGACGAAAAATATGGGGAGTTTTTAATATTTCGGGACAAAGTGGACCTTTCCGAGGAACACTTCCGAATTGAAAGTGATGCGAATGGGACGTTCTGGCTGCATAGTTTAGTGAGTAAAATTAAATATAAATTAATTTTAAATGTGATTTTAATGTGACCACAAATTTCAACAGGGAGGACGAGAGACTTTCCTAAATGGGAAATTACTTGAAGATTCAACCGAGTTAAAATTTGGGAATATATTTTACTTTTCACCTATTTTTTCGCCATTTTGGGATTCCCGATTAATTCCCTTGGCCAAGAAGGGAAGAAGCCAGGGGTTGTTGTACCACAAAAAATGGTCGGGGCAAGAATATGCAGTATTTAAATTTGAGGTGAGTTACAATCGCACATATATGTAAGTTAGGTGTGATTCTGATCAAAATGGCACATGCATACTTATATGTTCATATATGTACATATACACACAATACACATGGCAGTGTACACTCTATCAATGAAATGCGATATTAAAATAATACCAAGTGGAACTCATACTTATGTACATATGTATATATTTATATGACGCTATCAAAACAGTTGTGCGAGTAATAGGGTGTATGTTGTCATAACTTGGTATTAAAGTTTTACTACTGTATGTTGGTAAATGGTAATTTTTCGCGGTCCGGATAATTTTAATACCATAAGCTGTAGCGCCTTAATATCGAGAAATCAATACCTACGCGATTATACCAGCTTTCTAACAGCGCATCGGTGCAACTTATTAATTGTATCTATACATACTTATATCAAGTTATATTGTGTTAATTTTTAATTAATGGCATCGACAATCACATCCAAATAAACATAATTAATTATTCATCTGTCGATAAATCCTGAATAATCTAGCTAAATAAATCTTTATCTAACGTTATCTTTCCTTCCAGAGACTGATACGTGACGCAACCGGAAAACAGATTATTCAAGAAACAGGCAAAAATGACATAAACAAGTTATTTCTTTGTCACCCCATTTTCTACAACCATGTCATCCTCACCACAATATTTGAACGCTTGGTCAACCCTTCTTCATCCCACACCCGCTATAACGAACACCTTTTTACCTGTCGCCTCGTCTCCAAATCATGGAACGACTCGGTTCGGCTCGTCATTCAGAAAAATCTCGTACCCAGCGTCACCATTGGTATGCAAGAACTACAGGTCGGCACACATTACCGCACGAACCGATGGATCTACTGGAAAACGGGGGGCGTCTCAGCACTAAAATTTGACTCGCTGAGTTTTAACATTTACGGAAATCAGCCCCACAATTACGATCCCATAGATTACTTATATCTGGCCGATGCAATAACAAAATTCAACCAAGATTTGTCCAGATTTATAAACCAGGCAGATTCCCACCCTCTAAACTTACTTATCATGAAAATAGAGTATTTTACCCCGATTTGCATCCTCCTCTCGAGATTTTCTAATCCCCTTGTCGAGCTCAACATTCAAATTAATAAGGTTTGGATTTACGACGGAAACCATCACAAATCTGGATTCCCGAAAGATCTAAGGTTTCCAAACCTGAAAAAATTAACACTCGAGTTTTTCGAACATAAAGAAGGTGATCTTGCGAACATCTCGGATTCGAGCTGTCTCGCCCAACTCATCCAAGCTTCCAGCCGAATTGAGGAGCTCGTGTTAAAGAATTACGCCAAACTTCCCACCGAATTCGGGACGTCGTTTAAGAATTTGAGAAAAATAACGATTTTTGGTCAGTGGGAGTATAACGTGCAGAGTTTGAATTTGCACGACTTTCTCGCCCAGGTTATGCCCTTGTCAGCAAATCAGTTAACCTCTTTCACATTAGACTTGCCCGAAATTCTAGTTCAACAGGGCACGAAACGGGACGAACTGCTATCCTTCTTGCAAAAACACCGGAGAAGTTTGGAATATTTGGAGCTCTCGATACGCGTGCAATCTTGTGCGCATGAGCCCCGACCATTCATAAGGGTGCCGAGGTGCATGTCAAATTTGAAGAAGGTCTGGATAAGCTGGAACGATCATCGGGGGGGGTCCAACTCTTGGTGGGGGTTTAAGTTGGGGAGTCAACTGAAGGGGAAGGAGGGTGAGGACTTCACAGCGGAAGAAATGTCGGAGGGGCCCTTCGTTGTGAGGGAAGGGAGGAATTGTGGTCAAGAATCGTGTCGTACTTGTGACGATTCTTTAGTGTATGGAGAGTGGCGTAATAAACAGTTGAACAAAGAGATGTATCCTGTATTGCTCTAAACGTGCCTGGGTAGGATTTGGTTAAATACATATTTCTGTGTGTAAATATGGTATTTTCTGAAGTGAAAATAAATTGCCTGAGTCTGATTTATGTAATTTAATAATTGCTACACTCTTAAAAATACCTTTTTGAAAAGTTAACGCACTCTGAATTCTACTTAAATTAAGTAAACTATACTAAATCCCGAGTAAACGTTACCCTTTATCAAGTTGACGTATGTAACTCTGGTTAACTTATGTACATAATACAGAATATATAGCGCATTTACTTTTCAAAAGGGTTTCATTATTTTTAAGAGAGTGCGATAAAAATTGATATTTTGCTGTGAAAGTGTGAAGCAATGACTCTTTGCTCGATTTATAATTATTTTACGATAATTACATATGCCAAATTGGTAGGAATTTGTAACAATTTTTATTTTACTTCAGAATCATAGTATTTCCACAAATAGTGAAATTTTTCTGCAATGTCTGAAAATTATTTTTTTATGTGACACGATAAACTTGCGTTACTTAAGTACACTTAGAATTCTGCTATAGTCAGGCAGGTATTGATTTCTTGTATGGACAGATTTTTGGATGATGCATGTTGTTTGTCAGAGGGAAGCTACATACATATGTACATATTACGTACCTATATTGAAAAGCAAATAAATGGTAACACTGAAATTGATCCCCCTTTTGATATTGAAACTCGATACTGATTCACCCACCAATTTATGAATAAATGTTCCGTTGATTTTAAACCGTGCTCAAAGTTTTATAAAGGTCAAGCTCCTCTTCTATTTTCTTATTCAATTCTTCAACAGCTTCATCTGACGGTAAAATGCTCTTGTCAACGCTCGTTATGATTCGCATTCCGTCGGCATAACTTATCATGCAAAATGCGATTCCTGAATAAAAAATGGAAATAAATATGTACACATTCTTATAAAATCTTCATGCTTATGCGATTTCCTGAGTAAAATTGTACTGACCACAATTTCCCACGCCCACTCCGGCAGAAAAATTGATGTCCAAAACCTTATTATTATTTCCACCCGCTATGAAATTTCCTCCATACGATGGCCCTGGAAAGTTTGAGATGAGGACGGTGGACAAATAATTGTAGGAAAACCAGTCAATCATCCAGGAGAAGAGTCCTCCAACTACGGGAATCATTACGACAGAGAACAGCGTGGCGGGCGAGTGGTTCAGCCTCCTGTAATATTTCTCTATCTTGGTCAGCCTCTTCATCGGATCAGAGACTCCCACGGGTAGAGGGATGAAGGAGAAGGTGCTGTTGTGCATGAAAAAAGTATGCTTTATCATCATTCTTTACGGTGACAAGTCTAGATATTTCCGTATGGGCGGATTATTTAAAACGTGCAAATGGTTCCTTAGTTTCTTAGAATGATCTGGAATGGGTACTGATACAGACGTGGTCAACTTTCTCGGCACTTTCACTCCACTCTCAATCATCGACTTCCTCAGACCTAGATGTATTTACTAGGGCATGTAATCTCGATATTTCGAGATCTCGAAATACCGATATTTCGAGATCTCGAAATACCGATATTTCGTTATTAAAATACCGAAATTATCGGTATTCAGATACCGAAATATCGATAGTTCGATATTGCAATACCGAAATTCAAATCTTGGAATTTATGAATTTATTTAATTAATATAACACTTTCGAATCAACGTAACCCCTTGGAATTCAAACTTTGGGGTGTAACCAGGTCAAAATGGAAACATTGGGGGTGTAACCAACTCAAGATTTAGAAATAATAATATCGAATTTTGACTTGGCCATAGCTCTACCTAAAGCTTCTAAAATTTAATTTTGACTTGGGTACACCCTACAATTTTCCCAAATTGATTTTCGAATTGGTCACACCCCCATAGTTCCAAAATTTATTCTCGGTTTGGTCACACCCCCAATATTCCCAAAATCGAATTTTGAGTTCGTTACACCCCCAAAGTTCCCACAACTGAATTTTTGACTAGGTTACACCCCCAAGGTTCTTACAACTGAATTTTTGACTAGGTTACACCCCCAAAGTTCCCACAACTTAATTTTGACTTTGTTACACCCCCAAAGTTCCCACAACTGAATTTTCGATTAGGTTACACCCCCAAAGTTCCCAAAATCGAATTTTGACTTAGTTACACCCCCAAAGTTCCCACAACTGAATTTTTGACTAGGTTACACCCCCAAGGTTCTTACAACTGAATTTTTGACTAGGTTACACCCCCAAAGTTCCCACAACTTAATTTTGACTTTGTTACACCCCCAAAGTTCCCACAACTGAATTTTCGATTAGGTTACACCCCCAAAGTTCCCAAAATCGAATTTTGACTTAGTTACACCCCCAAAGTTCCCAAAATCGAATTTTGACTTGGTTACACCCCCAAAGTTCCCAAAATCGAATTTTGATTTGGTTACACCCCCAAAGTTCCCAAAATCGAATTTCGACTTAGTTACACCCCCAAAGTTCCCAAAATCGAATTTTGACTTGGTCGCACCCCCAAGGTTGCCAAAATCGAATTTTGACTTGGTCACACCCCCAAGGTTGCCAAAATCGAATTTTGACTTGGTCACACCCCCAAGGTTGCCAAAATCGAATTTTGACTTGGTCACACCCCCAAAGTTCCCACAACTGAATTTTGACCTGGTTACACCCCCAAAGTTCCCACAACTTAATTTTGACTTGGTTACACCCTCAAAGTAGAAGCTTTAGGTAGAGCTATGGCCAAGTCAAAATTCGATATTATTATTTCTAAATGTTGAGTTGGTTACACCCCCAATGTTTCAAAAATTGATTTTTGGCCTGGTTACACCCCAAAGTTTGAAGTCCAAGGGGTTACTTTGATTCGAAAGTGTTATATTAATTAAATAAATTCATAAATTGCAAAATGCCAATTTCGGTATTGTAATATCGAAATATCGATATTTCGGTATTTGAATATTGAATACCGAAATACCGAAATACCGAAACCGATATCGAGATTACATGCCCTAGTATTTACATCGTGATTTTGGGAAAGTTTGACATTTTTTTTTGCGTACAAATCATAGATTGCAATATATTGGTCCATGGACCATGGAACATCGATTGACCATGGATGGATTTTATTGTGGTCCATGGTCCATGATCAATTGCTAGCTATGATATAAATTAATATTTGTTCGTCACACCAGCAGTAAGAGCCGCGAAAATGACGGTCGTGAAGCTCACACCGTTCGCATTTTTTATTTTCTTGATGCACTCTAAAGGAATTCGTGATGTGAAGGCCGCGTTAAAAGGTCTCTCAAGTTTCTCCTGGGACAAGTGCCACGAGTTCCTATCATAGCTTTTAACTATGAGCTCCATAAATTCGTACGGTGCACGGACCCCTAAGACAAGTCCATCAAAAACTTTTCTGCATAGACCTTTCTCCTCAGCTGGCTTAGGCTTTGCCACCGTTTGCAAACCCACTTTGTGAAGTTGTTCCAGCAAGAGCCTCAGAATTGCGTACCCGTCACAAAATCCGTGATGTACTCTAAAGCAATATAAATCGAAGTAAAATAAGTAGTAATTATGTACAGTATAGGCGGGAAGTCTTTCCACCCTCATAATTTTTTCACTTAAAGCGTTATATTCCTCGAAAAGCTTGAGGTAATGGACTGCAATTTTGCACAATTACTTATCATGATGCAAGGTTTTCGGAACCATACTTTGGATAACGGCGTGGCACAGGAAACGACACGGTGAAATTATATACAAAATTCCGACCGGAAAAAAGTCTTTCCACCTTTTGACATTTTCGTTGTTTTTGTGTAATTCTTAAAAATATTCTTGAAAATTGTTCTCCACCCAGTAGGGGATGTGTCATTCTTTGAAAAATAACGTTTGTATAATGCTCAAATTATTGATTGTTATCAATATTAGCTCATAATGAGAGGAAATCGCCTTGTCACAGATCTTGGGCAAGACGTTGTAAAATTTCGTGAGGCGGGGTTTCGATATCGAACAATTTATGATAAACTACTCGGGAAGAAGTACATAGTTGGCAGAATATTCCAAAAGTACAAAAAAAATTGGTACGGCGGCGAAATTCCTAGCTTATGGACCGCCAAGCATTACAGCCCCAAGGATCGCTCACAGCATCCTCTCCTCAATTCAGCTAAACCCTCGGCTGCAGCACCAAAAACTAACTGGAAACGAAGGAAGACTACGACCTTCAAATTTCTGTGCGAACTGTAAAGAATTGGGTAGAATAAGTTGGATTTAAAGACCCAGCAGTGCGGAAACAACATTTATTTCCTAGGCCCATATGACCAAAGTTATGAAATTGGCTAAAAAGTATCGACATCGATACATTCAAGACTGGAAATGTACAACATGGAGCGACTAGACCAAGACCAACTTGTTTGGTTCAGATCGGGTCACTCGGATAAGGAGATGACCAGGAGATACAGACAAAACTCAGAACCGTAAATAAATCATTAAGCATGGGGGTGGAAACCGAAACGTATGGGCGTGAACGTCGTAAAAGGGCATCGGAAATTTTGAGATAATCAAAGGAATCATGGACCCCAACTGCTGTTGCGACATTAGGGGTTCGAATTTGATGGTGACGCGAGAAATTACCGCGTGGTGACAATTTTATTTCAAACAGAATGGTGAATTTAAGCATAGATCAAAGTTTTTGAGAGGTAGATTTACAACAAACAAGATTTAATCGTTGGATTGTACTCTAAAATCACCGGACGGAATGCTAATGAACATTTGTTGTCAATTATGAAGCCTCAAATTTCGTAACAAAAACTATCAAACCCGAATGGACTAGGGGACGCCGTTAAATTTTAATTGGAGAATTTAGACACCTCATACACAATCTTAATTTTTGTGTTGATGCCTAGAGGTGATATTGCCTTCCTAGAGGACCTGGGTGAACATTGCAAATGATAATTTGACTATTACATAACAAACAAAAATTTAAAATGAATGTTGCATTAAACTTTAGTTTGGGTGGAAAGACTTTTTTCCAGTCTGAATTTTGTATATAATTTCACCATGTCGTTTCCTGTGCCACGCCGTTATCCAAAGTATGGTTCCGAAAACCTTGCATCATGATAAGTAATTGTGCAAAATTGCAGTTCATTACCTCAAGCTTTTCGAGGAATATAACGCTTTAAGTGAAAAAATTATGAGGGTGGAAAGACTTCCCGCCTATACTGTACATGCATAATAAATATTTAATGACATTGCTTGAATATCAAGACAGATTTGTTGGCAGAGGGTTCAGTGTCTGGCTCTTGGTCTCCATTGTGGTCTAAAAAGTTTGGAATGAATAAGAATTCCCATGGACTTTTCCCACTCTGAAATGGTTCTGCCGTCGGTCCCTTGATAACTTGGCGCAGTTCCTTCTCCGTGGTCACTTTCTCTAAATAATCCACTGAATTATTTGCATCAAAATAGTATCTCATGTGGTCTTGGATGTCGAATGCCTTTTCCCACTTCCAGAACAGAAACCCAAGCCATGTCGTGTAGAACTGTTGAAATTCTGGGTTGACCAGCTTCCCTGTAGAATCCTTCTCCAGGACGATGTCTTGTAGAAAGGTTTGTCGAAATTGGTCGAAATTAAGATTTCCTTCGAGAGTTATCCATACGCAGAGGTTCCACTTGGGACTTTGGTTTACGCGGTCCGTCGCTATTACGGCACTTCGAGTGTTGATCATCTTCCCAAGGTCGGGTCGAAACAGTTTTCCGGCCATTGCGACAAGGAATCGAATCAGGTAAATTGGAAGGAAGAAGAGGGTGAAACAGATTGGAAATAGTGTTAGGAAGCCGAAGAATAAAAACAGGATGGTAAACTTTGTCGTTATTTTTCTGCAGATTGAATGGTGGCGTCCCATCTTAAGGTAATATGTTTGATGTTATCTAAGGCCATAAACAAAATGGCGAATCATGTTGGAGAGGTAATAAAAATCAGCGGGTTTTACGTGGTGTGAGTACATATGAGGTTTACTGTGTTTTACTCGGGTTTCACTGGGGTTTATCTAAAATTGAATATTAGCTAGATAATAAACTTTCTGGAACTTACAGTAGGTAAGTATTTTTTGTACTTACTCAGCGGGGTTGACTATGTTATATTTGTATTGATGACAATTGATGTTACTCAGGCTATACGGGATCTTATCTAAAATTTAAATTGACAAATTAGTAGAATAAATTTGGAGATATATCTATATGTACTTGTACATATGTATGTACATATATATAACGAGAATTAGAAAAATACTCATAAGTTCTCTGATAAATATTCATTTCCTTTCCCTATTTAGTTTGGAATTTCTTTTGTTGGTTTAAAAGTCACATGCACAGCTCAACCTAGAGTTTAATAATTTTTGAATTACTTGGTGTGTTACAGGTATGCAATTTAGTTTGATAGTAAATCTTAAAAAAATACGGTGTATATTTAACAATTCTTCCAAATCTACTAAGATCACCTACATATTTTGATATTGTTTCCAAGGGTTTTTGTAATTTTCTGTTTGCGAAACAATTTTG